AGGAAAGACTTACGGCTGCCGTCAGAGAAGCTCTAGGGACACAGAAAGTGGTGCATACCGGCGATGTAATACCGCTCCCGCTCCCACCGCATCCAATCACCTACGCTCCGGCCCCTCCTGCTCACATTTCTTTCTGCGAACCCGTGTCTCAAGGCTTGCTTGCGTCTACGACCAAGATTGTTCTCATTCAAGCGCGTCCACAGGGCCACAGGGCGCAAAGGAGTCTACGGTCAAGGCCGGGGCTGCTCAAGCAGGTTGCGGAAGACGAGGCGGACGATACATCAAACGAGCAATTTTACTCCGCTGCCGAAGACAAGCCCAGTGAGAGTGGGACTGAAATGGAGAGCACAACCCCGCCAGATGATTCGGAAACCGAGGGTTCGGTAGGCAATGCGAGTGACACCTCAGATGACTCGTTGGAGGATATGATCTCGCTGACAGCCCCGGAACTTCCACAACCACCTTCCGGTGTTTTGTCTTCAATCACCTCCGCTACACCCCGTGCTGGTGGTCGGAGACTTGATGGCATTCACACCCCTGGGTCCGTGGCATCTAACTTCACCTCGGCGACTCTGCGCCCGGGGAGAGGACCGGGGAAAGTCTTCAAGGCGGAAGGTTTACTTCGTGGAATTCCAATCGAGCTCCTACACCCCAGGCCTCGGGAAGACGATGACCCGGAGTCATTCATCTATGTGGACATCGGCACGCTCGCGAAAATCGGCTGTTTTTCCGGGGACTGGGTGAGAATCGAGGCCACAGAGGAACCCCAGGCGAATATATTTTCGTCGATCCAGCTCGGGAGCTTCAACGAGCATGACGAAGAGCATGGTAATTGGCGACCAGTAAAAATCTACGGCTTGCCTGGCCTTCCGTCTGCCAAACCTAGGTATTCGATCAACCAATCCTCTGACAGGCGCCCTAGCATCTCCCAACGCCCTCCACAGCGGCTAACTCCCTCGGTCTATGCTTCTCCATTGCTGTTGAACAATCTTGAGAACACGAAATATGTGCGCATCTCGCCGATGGCATTTTCCACAGGTAACGGCCCTTCGAAGTCTGCTGTTCTGCATCAAGTCAAGGCCAGCTCGACCAGGCAGCCACCTTTGGCCAAGGAAGTAAATCTTTTGAAGGTTTCCACACCGCTTTCTATGGATCGTGTCCTCCAGCCGGCCTTGTTCGCAGGACTCAAGCAGTATTTCGAGTCGAAGAGGCGGATTTTGAAAAGCGGTGATCTTGTTGGCATCAGCGTTGATGAGGGACTTGGCAGAGCTGTTTTCTCTGGAGCCGCGGCCACGGATGCAAGCACTTCAGACGAAGATTTGACAATACGTTTCAATCAAGCCAATGAGTCTGCGCAGGGTGTGAAGAAGGTTGGCGTGGCATGGTTCCGCGCCGCTCATGTGGTTCCCGGAAAGTCCGAGGATCAGGATGAAGACGATCAATGGGGAGGGGTAGCCGTTATTGACTCTGCGACCACTAGGATGGTGCAGGCTGGAAGCGATGTCAGCCGGGTTCCCGGCACCTTGGAGAACGGTTGGGAGTACTGGCTTGGGGTGAAATCCGTACCAAAGTCCATTAGCAATGCGCCGGGACCCCATGGTCTGGTCACTGAGCCACCGCAGCTGTTCCTACCGCCATTGCAAAAACGGATTCGCGAGCTCATGGCAGTGGCAACAAGTCCTCGCGCCATTCAGCTGGGAATGAAACCTGTTGTGATTCTTTTGAGGTCGCAGCAAAGACATATTGGAAAGACTACGGTCGCAACGCGCGCGTGTGCAGACATTGGCCTTCATACCTTTCCCATTGATGCCTACGACATCCTGACTGAGGGCGGCGCCAATGGCGGCGATGTGAAAACAGAAGCCTACCTTAAAGCGAGAGCCGAGCGGGCGTTTCACTGTGGATCGCACTGCACAGCGCTTCTCATCAAGCACATTGAGGTGTTGACTGCCGATAGAATAGTGTCGGCGATGGCAGAAATTCTTGCAGATGCGAGAGTTGTTATTGCCACAACCACGGATGTGGAGCAGATCCCGGAAGGGATCCGCAGCATGTTCACTCATGAATTCGAGATGACTGCGCCAGAGGAGAAGGAGCGTGAGGGCATTCTCCGAAATGCTGTCGCTGAACGAAGCATCAGACTGTCACCCGACGTCGACTTGGGATCGGTGGCTCTGAAGACAGCTGCTTTGGTTGCAGGCGATTTAGTGGATGTCGTCGAAAGGGCGTCCGCCATCAGATCCGCCCGTCTGGAAAAGCTAGCGGAAACGGCAAGCAAAGTTGCGCCAGAATCCAAAGTCAGTGTCAGGGACGTGCTTGTCTCTGGCGGCGATGCGGCACGAGGTGTCACCAAGGCCGATTTCGACGCCGCTGTTGAAGCTGCAAGGAAGAACTTTGCCGACTCCATTGGGGCCCCGAAGATTCCAAACGTTAGCTGGGAGGACGTGGGTGGACTGACCAATGTCAAGGATGCCCTGGTTGAAACTATTCAGCTGCCTCTTGAAAGACCCGAGCTCTTTGCCAAGGGCATGAAGAAGCGCAGTGGTATTCTGTTCTATGGTCCTCCCGGTACTGGAAAGACCTTGCTTGCCAAGGCTATTGCCACCGAATTCTCCCTCAACTTCTTCTCCGTCAAGGGTCCCGAGCTGCTCAACATGTACATTGGTGAGTCCGAGGCGAATGTGCGACGAGTGTTCCAGCGCGCTCGGGATGCTCGGCCTTGCGTTGTTTTCTTTGATGAGCTGGACTCGGTCGCGCCGAAGCGTGGAAACCAAGGCGACAGCGGCGGTGTTATGGACCGCATCGTCAGTCAGTTGCTTGCCGAGCTAGATGGGATGAATGGTGGTGAAGAGAACAGTGGGGGTGTATTTGTTATCGGCGCCACCAATCGGCCCGACCTACTGGATACGGCCCTTTTGCGTCCTGGTCGTTTCGACAAGATGCTCTACCTTGGTGTTTCGGATACACATGAGAAGCAGGCTACAATCCTTGAAGCTCTGACGAGAAAGTTCACGCTCGATCCCGAAGTGTCGCTCCGCCGAGTCGCGGACCGGCTTCCTCTAACTTATACGGGTGCCGATCTGTATGCTCTGTGCTCCGATGCCATGCTCAAGGCTATCACGCGCAAGGCGACGGCGGTGGACGAGAAAATCAAGCAGCTACCGGGCGGGCCGGTTAGTACTGCATACTTCTTTGACCATCTCGCGACGCCGGACGACGTGGCTGTCATGGTGACAGAGGAAGACTTTACCCGGGCTCAGAGCGAGATGGTTCCCAGCGTCAGGTACGTTACTCGTAGTCAATACCTGATAAGATTATTGAAAGACATTTGCTTATTATCCCTGCAGTGCCAAGGAACTGGAACATTTCGAGCGGATTCGGCGCCAATTCGAATCCGATGACAAGAAGCAGGAGCCGCAGAGTACCGGGTCAGGGTCCACGGCGCCGCAGACCATCGGCGACGCTCTTGAAGCGCTCAAGCTGGGCGGCCAGCTTGATGGATTCATCGATGGACCAGTTACGAATGGAGACCACCCTTCTCCTGGCGGTGGCAAAGGTAAAGGGAAGGCCGGCTCAGCCATGATGCGGAGCGTCAGCGGCCAATCTACAAGCAGCAAGGGCAAGGGCAAATGGAAGAATAAGACTGTCGCGGATGGAGGCGGAGAGTCTGATTCCTCGCCCGATGTTGCCAATGGGGATGACGACTACATTGTCCGGACGGATCACTTGGTGAATTCTACGGACGGAGCGAAGTAGGCGGTGGCTTTGTTGCAATGGACTGAGACGAAGGATGAGCATAGCATAGCATAGAGTTGGAGGTTGATATTCTCCATGTTGTTGCATGTATATATTATGTTTGCATCAGATGCTGTATCGATACCATGTGTCATTGATCCGCTGTGGATCGGAGTTGACCGTGTTTATACCTCTATCAGTATGTCGATGAAACGTTGAAGATATGAATACATTCGTCATAGAGTGACTGCGTGGAGTTGCCTGGCCGTTCTCCGATAATGATGGTCCAACCAAGCCATGTGCTCACGTGGGAGGCCTCCAAAAGATACTCCACTTTCTTTCCTCCTACTCGGTACGGAGGACCGGACCTACCCAGGAATGAAGGCTTAAGGCTTATCGGGATCCGTGTGTCAATTCGGTCGATAATCATCAAACTGCCCCGGTGAGACATCAATCAGCCGTCTGCAACTCGTCCACCGAACTCCGTCACCCCATATATATCGTCTCAAGCAGACCTGACTACCCTGACTGATTATCTATCTCTACTTCGAATATGAATCATCGATATCTGATTGCTGAATGATATCTCGGAGGTGCTCCGTCGCCAAGTAATACATTCTCAATCTCAGTCTGCATAAGCTTTCTAGAACCAGCCAAATTCCCGACCAAGCGTCCAAGACTCTGTGGCTCCCACCCTCCCAGACGCTAAGAAACGACTTCCCGCAGATCGTCCTCTTCTCTTTTTTGCCTCCTTTCATCTGACTGGTCCTCGGCGCCGTGTCTTCGGCGACTTGGGCGAATTATAGTCTGCTTCAGTACTTATCTGCCATATCTGCCACTGCAAGCACCGATGGGTTTTGTCCTGCTTAGTTGACCGAAAAGGTACCCTCTCCACGGAGTAGCTGCTACCTTATGGAGTAGACCCGGTTCCTATCGGTTTATCATCTGGGTCGCAGTCCCTTAGACGCTGTGAATGTTGTAATGCTGTTGCGATTACCCCATATCCATTAGGTAACAGTTGAATTCCCCCGCGATCAGCTGGTGGGCCTAGTGAGGGACAAGGGACATGATGGCGTACTCCGTAGACTACATTCCCAGGAATCCAGCTTCCGACGATGGCAAATAGCATAACAAGTAGATAGAGAACTGAAAGGGTCAGATTGAAGAAGGTTTCAACTTAACTTTTGAGGCTTTCCCTAGCAAGTACCTGTCTACCTAGTAAGTCACACTAGACTCTACCTAAGGCTGCCAGAAATTGAGTTTCCCCGGCTGGGGTAAATCCTACACTACCACGCCAACTTACTTATAACCTGACACTATTGCTGCTCTGCTCTTGACTTTGCTTTTCAGGTTACTCGACTCTTGTCGCATTCAATACTTGATCTACTGTAATATCTCGACATGTCTACGATAGAGAAGCACAAAGGCCGGGTCGATGATGACGCCCAACTTGCGGCCATGGGCCACAAGGCCGAGTTGGATCGCAATTTCTCCATGCTGTATGCTTTTTTCTTTTCTGACCATGTACAGTCCGGCTGTTTGGAGTGATGGCTGATGAATGATGGATTTAGATCGATGTTAGGACTGGCGTTTGCGATTCTCAACGTATGATTGTTTGATTCCACCGGGTTTGCGGTATCGCATACTAATGACCATATCGTGCTAGTCATGGACGGCTCTTTCAGCAAGTTTATCGCTCAGTCTTCCTTCCGGAGGAAGCGTGAGCGTCGTTTGGGGTAGGTTTTTAGTTCCCTGAGTTCGACGTCAGTCTCAGTGCTGACTTGGGGTACAGGGTTGATCACTGCGGGGATCTGTAACCTTTGCATTGCGGCTTCGCTGGCTGAGTTTCTGTCTGCGTATCCTACGTTAGTATTTCTGACTTTTGATATTTGGGATTCGAGGTGTTGACGGCATATAGGGCTGGTGGACAGTATCATTGGGTTGCAGGTGAGTTATTCATATTCTTAGTGGATGTTCGAAGAGTGTGATGCTAACTTTTCTTCGTGTCGTAGTTAGTAAGTTATCCTATGTTATTGCAACTGTGGACAGCGCTAACAGCTGGAAGTCTCTTGGGAGAGATGGAGGCCAATTCTCTCTTGGATTACTGGTTGGGTGAACGTGTCTGGCTGGGTATGATGACCCGTCTCGGAGCTTCAAGTTCGCTGCTGATGAAACAGGTCGCTCTCGTCGCTACTGGTGGACTCTTGGGCAGTCAGTTGATCCTAGGCGTTATTTCCTTGATGAATCCGGTAAGAGGGTTGAGTGTTGACGACCACGCCTGTTATGGTTGACTGACACTTTGCAGGAATATGAGGCGCAGCGGTGGCATCAGTTCCTCATCTACATTGCTTATAATATTGCCGCGTTCATCATCAATGCCTTGATGAACTCTGTTCTTCCTTATATTACTAAGAGTGCCTGTAAGTCTCTTTCCCCAATGGTTCCGTGACATATACTGATGGTATCAAGTCATCTGGTCCCTCACTGGGTTTACTGTCATATGCATTACGGTGCTAGCATGCGCATCGCCAAATTACAACTCGGCAAAGTGAGGACTCCTGTGGTTTTATGAAATAAGGGACCTGCTGACAAAGTCAGATTCGTGTTTACAGATTTCATCAATGAGACAGGCTGTATGTGTCGACCCCTACATTTGATGGACCGAAGCTGACAAACGCAGGGCCTGATGGTGTTGCCTGGTTGCTTGGAGTACGTTATTCGTCACGTCAACACATGCATGATTCTGACAGCGATGCAGTTGCTTCAAGGTGGACTTGGTGTTACTGGATTTGTAAGTCTCCACGCTTGCAGACGTTTGTACTCGTCCTTAAACTAACATGTCAAAGGACGGTGTCGCGCACATGATTGAAGGTAACTCATTCTCAATACAATGTGGCGACTTGAGCTTACGTTCAAAGAAATCCCTCGTGCTTCGGTTGTTGGCCCCAAGATTATGATCGGTTGCGTCTGTATCGGAACTGTGACTGGTACCATCTTCCTGATTGTGCTGCTCTTTGTTGCTGGCAACATCGACGATGTAATCAGTTCGGCGGCCGGACCTCTCCTACAGATCCTCAAGAACGCAACCAACAGCAATGCCGGCGCCATCTGCCTGCTCATGTAGGTCATTTCAAAAAGCCTCGCGGTTCATTTCTAATGATCTCTAGGTTCCCTCTGGTCTGCATGCTTTTCGCAACCATCTCCATCATGACAACAAGCAGCCGTATGATCTTCGCTTTTGCAAGGTGATTATCTACCAGCTTATAGGACTGTTGATTTTGTGCTGACAAGCCTGCAGAGATGGAGGTCTTCCGGCTTCTCGCTTCTTCAGCAAAGTGCACCCCAAGCTGAAGGTTCCTCTGAACTCTTTGTATCTGAATCTGGCACTGGTTGTCATCTTTGGATGCATCTTCCTTGGCTCTACCAGGTCGGTTGTGTGTTGACGGTATCACAGTACCATGACTAACATTGAATCAGTGCTTTCAACGCCATTGTCTCCGCTTCTGTGGTACTGCTTGATGTTGCATATGGTATGCCAATTGCGGTCAACTGCCTCCGCGGACGTAACATGCTCCCAGAGCGCCCATTTGTGCTTCCTAACCTTGTTGGCTGGACTGCCAATGCGGTAAGTTCTTCTTACAGTCCATCTCGAGGGGAGAACTCATATATCGCTTTAGATCTCCCTTGTCTACATCTCAGTCACCACTGTGCTCTTTCTCTTCCCGCCAGAGCTCCCCGTATCGGGCAGCAGCATGAGTAAGTTCCAAGGCACTGCAATGCAGAATTGAGCGACTACTAACACCGCTGCGTCTAGACTACTGCGTCGCTGCCTTTGGCATTATCATCGTTATCTCGGCTATTCAGTGGATCATTGACGGACGGAAGAACTTCACTGGACCACGGACCGATATGGACATCTTGACAGGACAACTCCCTGCTGGCCACTACCCTGTCGACAGTAATGCTGCGCATGTAGTACCTGACGAAAAGTAGCCTCAGGAAGGCGCTTGCTGTATAGTACTCACAGAGTGAGAATGTACTACTTCCATGCTATTTCAACACTATTTGGTACAATATCAACGATCGTTGTGACTGAGGTCGTTCGTCCGCTCCACTGCCTCACAGTCGCCCTTCCATGTTGCGAAAGATGCCCCATAAGAGGCGATGGGATAGGTATTATCACAGTCTATACACAGTATATGTAGCGACAGGCAAAAACAATCGTGGATCGATTGGCGATGTGACACAACAAGGGCGATAAGAAAAGTTGCACAAAAGACCGACGATAAGCCATGAGGCGCAACCTGGAGTTCGGTTCGGCTCAGCAACAGAGATCACCAGGGATCAAATTAATGGTATCCAAAAATTCATGAAACGAGAATGATATGGAATGAACGAAGGTTAAGAAAGGAAATAAGAATCATTTGTCGCATGGAATTTAAGTCAGAGGTAGTCGGCACCTCAGGCTAACTGCTGCCGAAAGGCTGCAACTTTTCCGATTCGGAGTTTGTTTCTTCATCAACGCCGAGGTTTGAACAATAAATTTGTATAAGCTACCGGAACGCTAACTCCAAGGTCTACGCCGCAAGGCCGAGTAGAAAGTTGCCGAAATCGAGGGAGCATGTAGTAGAATCTGAAGAAGTGTAAGCATCAAGACCCCATTCCTTCTTCAGCTGAATCCGCCATGTCTCGAAGTCCATTTCCTCACCATCGACCAGCATCTTGCCGCTGCGGATCTCTTTCAATCGCGGGGGAATGACGATAAAGTACTTGACATGCTTCGAATTACATCTCTTCATGGGCATCGCGTCCTCCCCCTCCACCAGTTTAACGCAGTCCGGACAAAACTTCCCCTTCTCCAAGCAAATGGGGCACATGGAAAACCCATCCCGCGTAGGCGCTCTCCGATGGCATGAGCCGCAACATATATACCAGGGGTCGCTGTTGTTCTGTTCCAACCTGTGGGCGATTGCAACTGCATTTTTCAAGTCGCCCGCCCTCATCAGAGTATATTGCAGGTCAGAAAGGTTCGACTCGTCGTCCGCGCCGTAGTCATCGCTGAGGCTTCGAGTGCTCCGTTGCACGCAAGGTCGGAAGAGAGCCCGCGCCCGCTCCTCTTGCCCTCCGAGGCGGCAGTAGAGGCCCGAGTAGATAGCTGGCGCGAAGGCGACACTCCCAGAGAGGAAGGACTGGCTTTGCTGCGCGAGCTTCTCAAGTTTGGCCACAGATTCTTCCGCCTCTGGAGTCCCAACTCCGGCCTCGAGTGCGTTATAGAGAAACTCCTGAGCCAGGTTAGAGGAGGCGAGCTGTCTGATAGTCCCGATCAATGTGCCGCCGGAGGAGGAGGAGGAATATGTATCCATGATTTTCTCCCAACATCTGATTGCCTTTCCTTGGTCCCGAAGAACCTCGTTATAGATTCGAGCGACGGCCATATCCACCTCCGCGGCAATCAACGTCCTCGACCCCTTTCGAGCCGCCCGGGCCGCCGTTTGCAAGCTCTCCAACACGAAGTCAAGGTCATTGGTAGCCAATGCGGCATCGGCAGCGAGCCTTGACTTGACGTCTACATCAAACACGTTGATCAGTAGGAATCGAGTCAACTCTGAGAAATCTCCTTCAGGTGCTGGAGTATCGGCTAACTTCTTCAGCAAGTCCATGGTCGCTTCGTGAGCGTGGTTGTCGTTGTAGTGTTGCAGAAGCGCGTAGATACATGTCCAGCAAGAGGGCGCGTACCGATATGCCTCTTGAAACGCCTCGAACCGTTTCTCCCCATCCCCCAGATCCCCATAGATCTCACCCATACGTTCCAGGCACTTATGGAGATGTGCGTTTAATGACCTGTCCTCTGGCGACTCCGCAATCATCTTCGACAAACTTAGTCGAGTCCTTTCCCAGAGCTCAATAGATTTCTGCCAGTCATCTTGCTCCTGGTATGTCTCTGCTATCTCACGCAGTGTCCGCCAATCATCCGGATCGAGTTCCATCGCCTTTTTGCAATACTGGAGGGCATCATCAGGGTACCCTGCTTGGCGCAGAGCGACCGCACATTGTCGAAACCACTGACTGGTCTTTTCAAAGCCACCAAATTCAGCAGCCTCAACTACCTCTTCCGCCGTCATGTCTCTGTCGTGATCGTGGAACTCCTCGCCCTTGATTAGCATCTGATAGCGCCATACAATAGAGGCCATGGGAACGGGATTAGGCAGGTCTTCCCACAGCCATCTCTTGATGCAGAACATTGCCATTGGTTTAAATGAGTTGACTGGCTCGTCCTCTGTCGTCGAAATAAACTCCTTCTCTTCCGGGGATAGAAACTCGAGGACATCTTGCTCTCGCCACCACTGTCGGACAGCATTGATAGTAGCCGTAGGAAGAGCCCAATTGTTTTCCCCAAGCCAGTTCGACATTGATTCTTCCGACCGAAATGCTGTCAACAGCTTCTTCGCGATCTCTCTTTTATCCTCCAATGAGCACTCGGACGGGGAAATGGTGAGCAGGTGATGGCCCCAGTTCCGCGCAGCATATCGAAGCAGGTGCCCCGAGTCATTGGCCTTTGTCGCAAATTCAGGATCGGTAATCAGTCTTAAGTAAGTCTTTAGGATATGAACTTTGGCTTCATGGCAATTCACCCCAACGGCAATGTGGCCCTCCTTAGCCGACACCTTGCCCTCCGACTCCTCCCGGAAGAAGTCGCCAATGGATGCATGGCAGAAGGTGACGGTAGTTGTATCCTTTTTTGAGCTGAAGTGCATGAAGAAATCCATGTCCCCAGAAGTCACAGCATCGGCACCTTGTGTCTCCTCGTCGGCGGACCAGTCGAGCGCGTTTAGGTTGAGTGGTCCATTCTCTAGCTCGGCCGTCGTCAGCCCATCTTCTCGGTGTAAGGTGAAGAATGACGCCCACTGGCGCCGTAGGGCCCCTTCAAGGTCAATCATGCCATCCCCTTCAGGTGATTTCAGTCTGAGGATCGCCTCTATGTCTGCCAGGCTCCATGGCTGATCCGCGTAGGTGACCCAGAGCAACGATTCATTGAGATACTCGAGCTCCTCCTCATCGGAGCTTTCAGAGAGACTGGCTAGCACGTGTTGGAGCATCTGCTTCAGGCCCCGGGGAGCCTGCTTCAGCGCTTTCCGCATACTAGTCTCATTCCGCTTCTTAACTAACTCCTGCAGTATAAGATTTACCCAAAGGAACATGCCTTCCGCCCCAACTGTTAGCCTATCAATGATCTCATCCCGCAAGTTAGCCGACACCCTTCGCAGAACCGGAGACTTTTTGATGCTGGCGTGGATATACTCGCAGATATCGCCCGAATTCTTCTGCTTGGTGACATGAAGGGTTGGGACCTTAACCTCCAGGCCTTCGAGCAGTTGGTCACTAATATAAGGTCGGCCAACAATGGCTAGCTGCAAGCGCGACTTATTGCTATACAAGTCCCTTGCCAGGCCGAGGAAGATCCTCCGCTCTTCATCCGGGTTTTCATCCAATGCATCCAGCAGGATATATGCGGTGCTCTTGCTGTCAATATTGGGCTTGCTAAGAAAATATTCAACGAATAGGAGATGCCACGCACTCTCGAGGGTGCTGATCCGTTCATATTCCTCGATGGTCCCGAGATACTTCAGGTATACTGGGTCACTCTTGCAGATCTGAAAGGCCAGGTCTCGCAAAGCCTGATGAACGGACCTTGTCTGGGGATTGTCCCCTTTGAAGAAGAAGTATCCGATAGAAACCAGCGACCTACTCTGAGAGCCTGAAGGAAACTGCTCACGAAGGAAACTGATCATATTTGTCGCTAGAAATGACTTCCCCGCACCCGGATTCCCAGACACAAACATGATCGGTGTTTCCTTATTAATCCAGGATTGGAAAACATCTTCCCTGCGGACCCAGTCTCCTGTGCCCGGTACATGGGCCTTGTGGATCTTGTCGAACCATTCCCGGGCTGAATCGATCATGGATGGCCTGAGGACCCGGTTGACGAGTCCCTGCAGGGCCTCTTGATCCACAGCGGCCCCCTGCTTTTGCTCATTCCCGGAAACGATCAGCTTCCCTAGCAGCTCTTGCACTTCCTGTACCTGCGCGCCCATCTGGTTCACTGTCATCCCGGTCTCCAGGACAGTCGCGCTGATGGTGTTAACGGACACAGAAATACCATCAACTACACGGCCAGTTCTCTTCGACTCAGTCAAGGTCTCAGCTCCAACTAAGTTAGCTTCAACCCGGGTGAGCTTGTCAAGCCTCTCCATCGCCGCTAGGATGGCGTCGTCGTTACCGAGGAAGAAATTCCGTGTGAACTTAAGTAGTCGGCCACGCCGGATGGTCTTCGATGACAGCGCAAAGATCTCAATAAGCGTAACGATGATATCGCTGAGTTTGTCGCTCAGGGCTTCGGAGATGGCTTCTTGTGTATATGCTCTTAGCCGGATCGTGTAGTCCTAGACTTGTTCAGAACTCCATCTATCTATCCTTTTACTGGTCTTGGTCCACGGGACCTTACCTGCAGCATCTGCATCAGATCCTGAATCGCCTCATACGAGGCCGATACCCCCTTGCAGCGCCCATCAAATGCAGCACGGCCCCAAAGACAAGACTGCTGGGGGAATGATCATCGAAGCGCCCCCAGCCGCGAGGATGCCGAACAGTTGCACGGGGATCATGGCTGACTCGAGAGCATCGAACATAACACCTCGCTTTTCACGGAACTCGCGAAAGGCCCTATTCCTCTCATCGATTTCTTTCATGAGATCCTCAACATTGCGAATCTTGGAGAGGAAGTCGACCTCGAGAGTCTCCTCTGTGATTTCGCGGTACTTTTGGATCGCCTTCTCATAGATGGCAGGGAACTGGTCCATGAGAGCGCCCATGTTTTATGCTAAAAATCGATGCAATTCTCGCAACCCTGACGATCAGGTGGAGCTGGGTGGAATTGGGTGAGATTATTCCCACTTATCAGCTACTGCATGTAGAGAGAAGTGCGGGGTACTGTCCTCTTACTACATTGAATTACATGCCTGCAGCGCACTTGCACCACATTCTTGCCATGCTTACATACCACATATCTCCCAGCTTATATGCTATCCGTTCAATACTTCTTATATCTTGCCTGCCGATATCAATTAGCCCCAGAAGACCAAAAATGGTACATACGACCATAGGGTGTGGAAAACAGGGCTTCCCGTCCGCTCAGCCGTACTTAAGCCACATGTAGAACGTGGTCAATCCCTAGAAAGCCCTTTTGCCTCTAAAGCAGCGGCGTGATGCTTTTAGTATGAGTGCTGGTAATATAGGTGAGGACCCAATCACCCCTGGTGATGATGGCTCCAGGGGGTTGACAAAGGTGAACTTAGCAGTTAACTACAGAAGAAAACAGTGATTAAGCTGCTTTTAATCAGCTCTGCACCCTGTAGTTTAAAGAGCTACATGTCACACCCTGGGTTCCGTCTCTGCTGTTCTCTGCTAGTCAACTGCTTTGGGAATGGGGTGATATAGTCCCTGGACTATATCCGATACTTGCCTAAGGCCTACCATCCGGGTAGCCTAGCGTTATACTGAACAGGTATGGGGGCAATGGGGATATGATGATCCTAATGGGATTAAAAACAATCTAAAGGTAACACAAGAACAATAATAGTAGAGATAGAAGCAACTAAGAAGCGCTGTACATATTATATGACTAGATTTTGCCTAATCTCTGAAGCAAAAGAAAGGAACAAATTGCTTAGAGCCCAGATAATTTGTGTATAACCAAGTACCCATGCGCTATGGGAGCGGACTAGAGCATGGAGCTACCTTTCCAGGTCTTTCAACAACCGCTATCACCGAGTGGGCCGAGTAGATGAAGATGGTATTGGCGAGGAGCTCTCACTCTCATCAGGAAGAGGAAGAGCGGTCGGCGGAGGTAGGGGAGTTTTCCAACCCGGATTAGGACCAACACAGTACGCGCTCCCGCGCACAAGGCTTCCAGTGCAGTTCAGTCCAGATGACAAGGAAGGATTGACCTCTAAGAATAAATCCGCAGTTATGGATTCCTGGATGCAGATGGATGGACATGAATCACCATCCACAGCAACATGCCACTTACCACACCGCAGCGTCGTGCCATTGGCGACCGTAACGTTGGACGGTGGCGGCACGATTGATTGCAGATATCCTGTGCTTTCAACAGGGCTCACTGTTGCCTTTGCGATGGGGGCGGTGCTGGAATAAGTCCCTCCCTGGGGACCCAGGCATAAAACGCTGCCATAAAGTTCAACGGATTTTTGAAGGTTGCTGCAGTCCCACGACACCCACGAATTATAGCGCCTTACATCCCCAAGTCGGTAGTTATTTGCTAGCTCGATGGAGGTGCATGTGTCGTTGGCCTTGAGGACATAAGTGGTCTCACAGGGAAAGGGAAGGCAGAGCGCCAGGTTCGCTGCGATGTTGCCGCACACCACGGAGACCGCTGGGTTGGCCATGAACAAGGCCGCCGACGAGACATTGGACTTTAGCGCAATGGAATCGCACGTCTCACCTGCGGATGTGGTCGTATATGTGTTGCCTGACACGCAGATCGGATCGGGGTCCAGTTCGGGAACCGCATCAAGCGATGGTGGCATATCAGTAGGGCCCTTCAAACCGCATTTCTCATGTACAACTTGTAAGTCTGCCTGGAAGTATTCGTCATACACTGAATATGGAGACCTTTGCATCATTTCGAGTCTTTCCACAAAACAGAAGGAGCAGAGCTGGTCGTGTGGCAGAGCTTCCGTGCTCACGGCGTCAAACTCAGCGATCACGTCTGCGTATCATTAGCAAGCCATCCTCACAACGCCAGTTTTTCCACGCTGCGTACCATTGCAATACTGTCTTGTAACCCGGTCCTGGAGACAGGTCTCGTTCCAACCTGCCCATATTTGCCCACCGAATTTGGTTGGGGCAGAGCTACTGACGTTGTGTCCCGAACAAGTGCTCGCGACGTTGTCAAACCAGCCTTTCAAAGATTCTCCACAGGCAGAGTCGCAGACTGATGCGGTGAGGGTGTCGTTGTGCAAAGACTGCCGATATTCTTGTCTCAGGAAGGTCTGAACATAGCGGTCACATTGGATTACCTCCGCCAGCGCTGTTCGACAGGAACTGGGCAACCCCTCCAAAGCATCAGCATCTGCGTCAAGGTCCCAGACGTAGAAGCCGGGGAAGTTGCGGCCTCCGATAATTGCCTTAGGGCCTCGAACCCACGCAAGAAGGGAGGACATATACCCGTTCTTATTATCCCTGGCGTATGTCGGCGTGTCGCTGGAGGGACTCACCATTTCCTTAATAGCTTTGGTGACAAGATTGTAGATCCAGATGTCATAACTTTCTTCAATATGGAATCCACGGTCCTGGCAGTTGTCGGTGTCCAGACAAGTTTGGGAATAATCTGAGAACCAACTATAGAGCCCTACGTATCATTAGCACCGGCTAAGTAGTCCTACGGTCTAAAGGACTCACCTGCTCCAAGGAGAAGCACTGACGAAGAATCAACAATCCGCACTGCCCAGGACAGCGCGCAAGTTGGCGAGCCGACAGTGCAATTACCAAAATCGGGATCACTGGCAAACAGACCAATCCTGAAGGGCTCGGGGGCAGGAGGAATTGGTTGAAAGTATGGCGACTCAGTCTGAATCATCCCTAATAAAACATCCTTGGCTTGGTGAAGCTGGTACTGGTAGAGCACACTATGCTCGGACGCGGTGCCGTACAGCCATGTAGGGCCTTGGCTCTCTACCAAGACGCCACGAGCCGTGTAGACATCAAGTTGATCTTGAGAGACCAAATCTAGATCATGATCTGCAGTCCAGACCCATACATTCTCCAGGTATGCCGATGAGGATCTGGTTAGGTGCAGCATCAATGAGGCTGCGATGCAATCTTTTTTCACTGTGCCAGTACCCTTTGGACAATTTACTGCTTGCAAATTGGAGCCGATGGCACCTCCGACACGGAAGTGAGAATCTGCATTAGTTAGCGAAGAATACCATGTGATATGGGAGCAGTAGGAACAAGGCCTCTCATACCCCATAGACCTGCTGAGCCTTGCGTCGACTCGTGGATATTCCACTCCATAAGAACCGCACCAGCAGTAGGACCAGACACTGTGAAAAGCATATCCTGGATTTCAACAATTCCTACATCTCCCGGATCACCGACCTGGACGGCCACAGAAGGGTGATCAATGTCCTCAAACTGCGGCCCTGTAGCCATGATCTGAGACCAGGCCTGGCCTAAGATTCGCGATCCCTTTGGAATCTTCAGAGTGTTCTTAATCACGTAGACACCATGGGGGAAAAATATAATTGAGGACATATTAGCACCACGAGCTAAGATGCTATTCAGTGCAGTAGTATCATCTGTAATCCCATCACCTTTTGCACCAAGCGCCTTAACATCTAACACTTGAGTCGAACCAAGGTCATGATACTGGGGCCTTCGTCGGGTGAAGAAATTCGGTTTGATATTGTAGACATTCGAGCCGACCAGTGATTGTGTTCTGTTCATGACTGGGAGATTTTCTCCAGAGACAAACCTCGTCCCGGAAGGGTCGTTGACCATGCCAAAGCCCCATGAGTCAAGGACAGTTGCATCACCCCCAGATACCAAGGCTTGCTTCACGTTGTCGTCAAAAATGGCATTCTGGGTGTTATAGAAGCCGACGTTCTGCAGCAGCAGTGCGGTTGAGTTCTTACTATAAAGTGTGGTAATGATGCCTGTAGGGGTATTGGCAATGACTGCGTCGACGAGCACAAATGAGCCCACACCCTGACCAGTGCTGAATGGGCCACCTGCCTAGAAATCATGTTAGTCTCAATGTGAGCGAGTGATGGTTGGGGCAGGGGGCTTAATATGTACGCCGCCGATGATCACAATCCCAGTAGTGCAACTTTCGATTACAACGTCCTGCATGGTCCAAGCCCAATCCCAGTGAATTTGCAGGGCGGTCTTGCAGTTCACAAACACCATGTGACTGGTGGTAAATTGCTGGTTACCCAAGTACGCTCTGTTCACCATCAGCACGTACTCACCAAGCTCCTTGACTCGTCACGAATGTTCTGTAGAAGTATCATCACACACTTACCCGAAATTGCCACCGACGAAAGTAAGATCGCTCATAAAACCCCCGCTTCCATTCTCCATATATAGCCCCTGCTGTGTTGTGGCTGGATCCTGGGACATATAGAAGTAGATATTCTCAAGGGAAGTTCCCTGAGCAACTTGCCAATGAATTGCACAGACATAGGCGTCCTGGGCAGTCCTAGTAATATCTAGTTTGAAATTACGAATGCTGCGAAGGAAGTTATTGGTGTTGATATACCATTCTTCCTGGTCACCGACGTAGACGTTGGATGTGATAACGCCTAGGCCGACAAAGCTGGACGCCGCCATGATTGTGGGTAGTTCCAACGGCTTCGCGAATCAGGCATTAGACTCATAAAGTACCCGGACAGAACGAGAGAGACTTACATCGCCTATCAACTGCGTGTTGTAATACTGAATAACCGAGCTACTGACCAGGTACGTTCCAGGAGGGAAATAAACGACTGCTGGGTAAATCGTACTCGAACCACAGCTGGCACCGCAGCGGTTTCCGTCCGAGATGGCGAGGTTGATGGCGGCTGTATCTGGTCAGTATATTGAGGAGCAATGGGCTGAAATGTCCAGTCTACCGGTGTCATCCGTCAATCCGTCGCCTAGAAATGCAGGTCAGCATCTTTTTTTCCTCGAGGAAAGAAGGTTCCAAAAGTATTTCCCACCTTTAGCACCATAGTCCATGACGTTCCTCCAGACCTATTGTCGATACATGTCAACATCACAAGAAGATTTATCGGAAGCTTGCAACGCGCGTACTTTGTAATCATTGGGGGCATATGGGTTGGCCCCTCGTTGCTGCATGGTGGCCATCCACCAGGCGGAGAAAGATCTCTTCCCCAGAGATCCGTCGGTTGAATTACCCCTGTACTCCGGTTCAAACTGTGCATATTCAAGGAGCCCATTCGGTCGCCGCAACACCTGTGTCGGAATCAAACTATCGTTTTGCTTGACCCCGTACTTGGCGCGCACCTGAGCAGCAAGTGCATCGTGATTGCCCGTTGACGGAGAAGGAGGACTAGCCTCTGCCATTATGCGGGCTGCCTCTCGCAGGTCTGCGGGAATTGAATAGCTATAGGTGCTAGAAGTGTTGGCTGGTTGCGCGCTATCTCTTTTCTGAAGGCTGTCGAGAGCCTTGACTGCGGACTCGCTGTAATCCAGCGGGCAGCGCTCTCTTTGGATGGCTGCACAGCAGAGCTGTTTTTGAATTCGTAGGAATTGTATTGGACATTTTCCAGGCGAAGCTTGTTCACAACTCTCAAGACTTCCAGAGCCCTCGCCACCATCTCTGCTGCCTCGGAGCTTTCCGTGGGAACGAACGCAGAGACGGTTGCTGATGCATCTAGGGCAGGGGAGACATAAGATGATGCCTGCCGCCTGTCATGGTGGTGGCCGTGGTGACCATGATGAGTGGCCCAGACAAGAACACTCAGCTGGCTCAAGGGCAAGAGAGCTGGTAGGAGATGCATCCTAACTTGCTATGACTGACAGACACTCTCAGCAATGAATAATCACTAAATCTTACTTTTTCTGTTTTGTTCCCTTTGGGATGGTCTTTCGTCCCCTTTTTCTTTCCTGGCGAAAGCCCGTTGTCGGCTAACCCTACCATCCGCACGCTAGTTCGAACGTGCTCGCTTTCGACCCATATTATTGCGAACTCGTTCGACATGTAGTTATGGGTTGTATTGCCAACTAGTTCCGGAGTTGGCCGTGTAGGCCGGCTCAACCCGGTCTAGTTGTACGAAGTTATTCCGCTACTGACTATGGTCTTTTCACTATACTCACCCATAGTTCCAGACGCAGTACACCCGCCTTAGATGTAACCGTCCATTGCACTAATCCCTGCGCTTGTATACTAGACAAGTGTAGTTCTCAGTCTATCCAATGGATGAGAAGTGTAACTCTTCCCATTACTTGGCATGGCTTGGCCACATTAGCCAAGACGAGCTAGTACCTAGCAAGCTTGCGCTAATACACAACCGAGGCAATACGGAGTAATGGCATTGGTGTGAAGGCTTTTTAGTCTTACGGCTTACCACTCGTATCGTCTCATCGAAGTGCTGGAGAACTTTTACAGTCTAGATAGATAAATACGACTCATGCGAGACCAAATATCTAGACTACTGCGCCACACATACCACTGGACCAAGGGTAGGCTACCCCTATTAATAAAGTGATCCACTGCCCTCTGGTTGCTCTTTCCCATAGTTTCTTTTCATGTTGGGCTTTGTTTGACGGTACTACTTCGCAGCTTACGTCGCTTTGTAGTGGACTTAGCACAAATCCTGAAGCAGAAAAGCCTGCTATACTCCGTCAATTTCAATTTATTAGAGTCCTTGCGGAATCATGGCGATTGTTAAGTCCGGCAATCCGAATCATGAACGCAATTTAGATTATGCTGTGCGAGCCTTTACGAACCACGTCTCAAAGCTAGGGACGTCCTAACTCCAGTCTAGTGGAGAATGGTACATCCTCGAGGCTCGCTTCCTGGGAAAATAAGCGGCCAGGTCAAAATGGACCCGTTCATTCGTACCTCCGGCCTTCGGCCGTCTGGCACGTACTAGTCGAGTCGATAGTTTCCAAGGGGGCATACCGACGAATTCGACAGACGCTGTTAAGCGGAAAGATTACAGATTCAGGTTGAAATCATGGTGTGGAACGGTGTTCTCCCTAACTGCATGCAATATATTGGGTCATGATCCTCTTTGGCCAGATTCCATTTGACCGGTACGACTTTCTCCTGTTTTCAAGCCCCGTTTGCTCTTTCCTCTATTTCATCATATTAGTCTATACGCCCAAGAGATGGCCATTCATGCTTGATTTATCATTCCTATTTGTTGACGAATCTCATACATTCAAGGATGGCATCGAGGTGGTTCTTAGGCCGTCTTACCTTGATCCTTGCGGTCTTCCTCTTCTCTGTCGTCCCTGTTCTGGCGCAGAACTGCAGCAAGGACAATCCGTGCGCAACAGGATGTTGTTCTACGAGTGGATGGTGTGGAACATCAGAAGAGCATTGCGGTGCCGGGAATTGTGTGGATACTTGTGACTATAAACTTGAATGCGATGCAAACAATCCATGCAAAACAGGATGCTGGTGAGCCATCATTCCTATCTTCCTTTTCCATATAGCATGGATGCATTCACTTACCAAGAACATGTTAGTTCTAAAGCTGGATTCTGCGGCCTAGGGCCGGACTACTGCGGCAAAGATGCGTGTGTGTCGGGCTGCGATGCCAAGTCCGAATGTGATCCTGGATTTGGTGCGGAATGGGCGCAAAGCTCGAAATGTCCCCTAAACGTGTGCTGTTCGAAGTTCGGGTTCTGTGGCACGACAAGCGAATTCTGTGGCAGTAAGAAGGTCAAAAAGCCAAGTTGTAGCCTTGACGACTCAACTTTAGACCGTGTTGTCGGATACTATGAAGGATGGGGGAGTCGTCGGCCCTGTAATGCCTTCTGGCCCGAGCGAATCCCCACAGGAGTCTATACACATATCAATTTCGCGTTCGCGGCCATCAATCCGGAGACCTTTGAGGTGGGACCGGCCCAGAGTGATGATATCGATCTCCTGCAGCGGGTCACCAATCTCAAACGGATAGATCCAGATTTGAAGGTCATGATTGCTCTGGGGGGATGGACGTTCAATGATCCTGGTGCCACGAGAACCACATTCTCAGACATTGCAGGCTCAGAGGATAACCAGAGAAAGTTCTTCAAGTCCCTTACCTCCTTTCTGAGTACTTATGACTTGGATGGAGTAGACCTGGACTGGGAATATCCTGTAGCTGATGATCGTGGTGGGAAGAAAGAAGACTTCAAGAACTTCCCTACATTCATGGCAAATCTAAAAAATGCTCTCCAATCAGCCGGTGGACGGAGTGAGGTATCAATTACCCTACCAGCGTCCTATTGGTACCTTCAGCATTTCGATATTGCGAAGCTTCAACGGCATGTGGACTTTTTCAACATTATGTCTTATGATCTGCATGGCACCTGGGACCAAGGGAACAAATGGACGGGCGAGTACTTGAATGCTCACACTAACCTAACAGAAATTGACAGAGCCCTTGAGCTTCTGTGGCGCAATGACATTGACTCCTCGAAGGTGGTCATGGGTCTGGCATTTTACAGTCGGACATACACGGTAGAAGATCCTGGCTGTGTAACACCTGGCTGCCTATACGCTTCTGGAGGAAGAAAAGGTGATTGTAGTGGGGAGATTGGCATCCTTTTGAACAGTGAGATTGATCAAATCAAAGACAAGCGTGGCCTGGTCCCAACATTGAACGAGGATGCAGCGGTACAATTGCTCAGCTGGGATGACCAATGGCTGTCCTATGATGATGAGGTAACTTTGAAGATAAAATTGGACTACGCGCGCAAGTCCTGTCTGGGAGGGGTGATGGTCTGGGCTATTAGCCATGATACAGCTGATGCGAAATATTCACATGTGCTGGGAAAGAACAGCCATCGCACGTTCACAACTAAGCCAGCAATATTCGCGGTTGTCGATACGAGTACCGAAACGCTGTACGAAACCAAGGAAGAAAGCCACCTCCAATGCAAGTGGTCTAATTGTGGAGAGTACTGCCCTTCTGGCTGGAAGATGATGATACGAGATGACCCGGACCGGCACAATAATAACGAAATCCTGCTGGACAAAACCACCTGCACCAAGCCGCACGGTCGTCGTTTCTGCTGTCCTCCAAGCGAAACGTTCCCTAAGTGTGGCTGGTACGGCTTCAAGGGGGGCAATTGCGACGGCACATGCCCCTCGGGATATCGAGAAGTCGGATCCCTTAAAGAAGAGTGTCACGCAGGCCATCATCAGGCCGCCTGCTGCACGGTGAAGGATGATAATGGCGTGCTTCTCAATTCCATGAGACTCTACGAATCGTGTGATTGGGCGGCTGAGTTCCCGGAGTGTGAGCAGGGCAAGTGTACATTCGCCGGATCTCCATGGCCTACTGAATTTGTTTCATCAAGCACGGGCAGTGGCGCTGTTGCGTGTTCTTGGAACTGGAAGAAACGAGGTGATAATGGAGGCATGAATGGCTTCGACCCTGACCCTCAGAAACGTAAGTACTGCTGTGATACCTCGGATAAGTTGACGACTTGGGGAACGTGTGAGTGGCGCTCCAACATTGGCGAGTACGGATCCTCAGGCAAGAGATGCAAGTCAGGCTGCAAAGCAAACGAAATCCCCATTGCTCTTGAAGGCTCGGCGGACTGTCATCAGGATGGAGCGCAAGCATATTGCTGCACCGGTACTTACCGCACCCAAACACGGAATTTGCTACCGGAACTGGAAGCAGACAAGACCACCATGGAGGCGTGGGTAAACAACCCCACCTGCGACAACGATAGTGGACTCCTCCGACGCGGACAAATTCCCCTGACTACCGTCGCAGTCAGTCGTGCGGGAGATATCTTTGGCGAGCTGCTTCTTGGAGAGGAAAACGGCAACATGAGCACGGTATTCCAGAAGAAGGAATCGATTTTCAACGAGAGTATCACCACAAAATGGAAGTGGCTCGCAACCAAGTACTCCGTGCCGTGGCTTACCAACGAGGAGACATATCCCGTTGGGAAGCTCTACAGCCCGCAAAAACTGGGACAAATCGTCATGTGCAATGCGGATGCCTTCAATGAGATGATTGGAAACACCGGCCTTGACCTCAATTGCACCCATTATGAACCAACGGCCGAGGATTACACGGAAGCGGATGATTCCGATAGCACAGTATATAAACGCTGGCTGGAAGAGGTATGCATTTCTCTAGGTTTCATATTTTCGGCAGCACTGATCAATAATAGCGTCACGTCCTTAATCGGCTTGAGAAGCGAACGCCACCCGAAAAGAAGAAGTATATCTGTACAGATAAGGATGGAAAAAAAAAGACGATCTATTATCAGAGCCAAGGATATCCGTCAGTGGGAGAGTGGGATGAAAATGCGGAACAAGTCCGAAATGCCTATGACCTGGTTGACTGGGATCACTGTCACACTCCACAGACCCAAACATACAACCTCGGAGATCAGCGTGGAACTTATGCCAGTAAGTTGTCCCTCTTTTAGCTGTTTCGGACGAGAGAAGCTCAAGACGTCGCACGCTAATTTCGCTTTGTTTTCATCAGCTGAACATACCATGGAGATGCAGTCTATAGAACTCTTCTTCACATGGGCCATCAAAAACGGCCCAGAGGAGTGCCATGATATCGACTGTGATTTCCTGGCGAACTTTTTCAACAAGCCTGTCCTGGACAAAAACGTACCTGGATTGCAGGGGCTTGACCTTAACCATCAGCAGGTCCCCATGCAGCGTTTTATGGAGCAACTGGGTAGTTATTTTAACAACGAGAACTTTGCGATCCTTCATGGAACCATTAATCTCAACAAAGCACAGGTATAGATCTCAATTCCAATCAGTGAAAGAATCAAAGCTGACATGAATCAGTTATGGAAACATGCTAAACCCAGAAGTGATGACACATGGGCCGAGACAAAGAAGGACCCTACCAAAGCATTAGAGCTAATCCGAGATGTAAGTGAGAAGAGCCAACTGTCACGACTGAACTAACAAGCTTTCTGAAAAGACAATTGCTGTCTTCAACTACCTCCGAGCTGATGCCGTCTGGGCCAAGTTCAAGGCCATCAACGACAAAGTCCGTGAGGAAATGAAGCGAGTCGACCAGCAGTACAAAGAGGACAAAAAGAAAGACCTGAATCTCCTCGACTGCTGGGATGCTTGGATGGAGCATCAACTCGATCGTGTGGTGAACGGGGGGAAAGACTGGGTTAAGAAGGCCCTCAAAGATATGGAGGATTACTGGGTGCCTTCTAAGTTTGACAACCCACAGGATCCGTTCATGAAGCAGGTTTGTGACGCTATCCAAGGAGTCCTGTCTCTCCTGGAATTGGCTGCAGCTGAGGCGATCAAGCGATCATTCTTCGACCTTGGCTTAGATGGTGATCCGATGGATACATCAGATTAGGCATAGATACTCTGTAAAGCTCACCTTGGTCAAAGGCTCCAGGTGGTTGATGTTCTTAGTTTGTGCTATGGTCATGATTAATGTTCCCTTACTGTAGAGTAAGAATCACCCACAAATGGAGTCATGATAAGTATAATAACACCTCTTCATAATTAGCACCAGACACTTAGAGCAACATAGGATGCAATTGCAAGAGAGGTCAGAAGCACAGGAGCGCAGTTAGTAGATTAAGTCGTAATAACGTAACCGGTAAGCGAGTCGCCCACGTAAGCCAGTCGGCCACCTCTCGAATTCCCGAACGCTTCAGGAGACTGCAGCAATCTAAACCACCACCATGCCACCAAAAGCGCGTACAAATTCAAGAAATATAATTGAAAAGGAGGCGCTTGTACGATAGATTCTCTCTGTGGATCAGCGCAGTGCAGCTCCCCGGCCATCTCACGTACGAGAAATGGCTAATATCTTGCTTGCAAAGCGTGGCACAACTCCTATTCAAGCTGTTGGAGAGAAATGGGTGTACAACTTTACTAAACGCCAGGATAAACTCAAAACTCGATCCCTCGCCGGTATAATCATCAGCGCGCGAAGTGTGAGGATCCTAAGGTGATTACTGAGTGGTTCAACCGTGTACAGGTCACCAGGATGCAGTATGGGATTGCTGATGAGGATATGTATAACGTTGATGAGACTGGCTTTGCTATGGGCCTTGTGGCTACTGCAAAAGTAGTAACAAGAGCAGAGATGGCTAGCCGGCCATTTCTTGTACAGCCAGGCAATCGTGAATGGGTCACATCTATTGGGTGTGTCAACTGTACAGGATGGGCACTTCCACCATGCATTATCTTCAAAGGAAAGGTCCATATTGAGGGATGGTATGAAGATAATGCCTTGCCACGCGACTGGAGGATCGAAGTCAGTGCAAATGGCTGGACAACTGATGAAATTGGACTGCGTTGGCTTCAAAAGCTCTTTATTCCAGCAACTAATAGCCGTACAACTGGCAAATATCGGCTGTTGGTTCTTGATGGCCATGGAAGCCATCTAACACCACAATTTGACCAGATATGCATGGAGCAAAATAGCATACCAATCTGCATGCCAGCGCACTCATCACATCTCTTGCAGCCTCTTGATGTTGGGTGTTTTGCGCCCTTAAAGCGTGCGTACGGCCGCCTGGTTGAAAACAAGATGCGGCTTGGTTTCAGTCATATTAACAAAGTTGACTTTCTTGAGGCCTATCCTAACGCGCGTACAGAAGTCTTCAGGCCAGAGAATATTCAAAATGGATTTGTAGCAGCTGGACTTGTCCCTTTACACCCAGAACGTGTGCTATCACAGCTGAATATACAGCTAAAGACCCCTACACAACCCCCAAGTCAATCAACAACTTCCGTATCAAAAACGCCATACAATCTCAAGCAGTTGAATAAGCAGGCATGTACAATAAAGAAGCTATTGCGGCATCATACACAGAGTCCTCCTATTCCAACAGACAGGGCATTGAATCAGCTTGTAAAAGGGCTTGAAATAGCCCTTAATGGGGCTGCTATTCTTGCAAAGGAAAACCAAGATCTACGGGCTGCACATGAGAAAGAGCTCAAAAGAGAAAACGGTCCAAAGCGCAGATTGCTTCTGCAGAGGGCCTTTCAATTGAAGAAGGCCATATGTTATAGAGAGCAGGAATCAGGTTGAAGAAGCTATACAGACTGGACCTGCACTACAGGAACTGAACGCACCAGACACATTGCAGCGCCGCGTACGGGCGCCCCCACGCTGCAGTGACTGTCATATTATCAGGCATAAAAGATTGCAGTGTCCTAATCGTGGTCATGATTAGTTTTTATATATAAATGCATGTTTTGCTGTATTAAAATACCTTTTCTTTAAGAAGATGGTCTGAATTGGTTGGAAGGTGGCCGACTCGCTTACTGGTTACGTTAATAATGATTACTAATTTCCAAGTAGCGAAAACCGGACGTTTTCCTATTAATACCCATTCATTCCCCTCATTGCCGCCAGTTACAAAGAACTCTCCGCCTACTCTGTACCCTTTTTCCTCTCTATTACAACCTGCTATTTTATTACATTTAAAGCCAAGTGCCGCAGCATGGCCCAATCAACAGACTCCAGAGATGAAAATACTTCTGAAAACCATTTCTTTTATCACTCCTCTTGGCCAGCACGGTGGTCGCACCCGGAATTCACTGATAGCCACACAGAGCGTTACAAGCGCTGGAGTCAGCAGCCCTGGTTTAAAGATGACAATCGCTCTGCTGTGCAGCTAGTTAGTTTAGCTGATGATGAAGGCTGGCCCTGGGGCTTCTTCATCTACCGCACGGTCTACACCCCTGAGTCTGATCAGGTTTGGTCCGCCTGTCTGGAGAAAATCGACCGCTATATCCACTGGGAAATTGACCAGGTTGATGGTGACCGATATGCAGGGGCTGAGGACCATGGCTTTCCTGAGAGGCTTGTCCATGAGGGATACAAAAATGTTATCCTTGAGGATAAACAACGCTGGGATGGTGCACTAATTGAGCAGATTCGTGAGGATTTCAAGAACCTTATTGCATCTCGGGGTGGTGGGATAGGGGAGGTTGTGCCTCGGTACACAGTGTGTCTGGTCATTGATCAGCATAGCTTAGATTCAATTATGAATACTTTTGAGGAGCCAGCAGAGAGCCAGTGCGGGGGTGGGCCAAGGAAGGGATTTATTACTATGGTTGATCCTATGTTTGTACCAGGCTTTGAGGGGTATTTTGGGTTTATGCGAGTTGAGATTGACAGGCTTTGGTGGCTAACGGTCGAGTTGTGCTCATCAAGTTCAATGAGAGACATCTGTCCGGAGGTGCAACCAGGCAAGATACCAGTTTACAATGCTGACCTGGGTTATGCGGATGATGATCCGTCATGGACTGGACCTAGGCTGGTAACGCCCATGACTCACCGTGAGTATGTTGACAGCCAAAGGAGGGATGCAGCAATGAATGGTAGTTACCATGAGACTTAGTTCCTATGTCATGTGATGTAAAGGGATTAAAAGAACAGAAAGAAAGCGCCTGATCAGAAACATGATGTACATTGATATGTGGATTTTCAAGATCTGGCCAATCAATTCTTTGCTCTTGTAAAGATTGTTTACTGTCTGACTCAGTGACAACAGACGCACTCAACCATTCCTTGTAGTAGGATGAGCGACACATAGCCCCTTGATATCTGCCTAACTCAGCAGTCGGCATAATCTGGAAGGAAGATGATCTCCACAGAATATATAAGTAAGTGGAAAGGAAGTGTGTACCTAGGCACAGCAGTATTGATTATTGCAGCATTCAGGGTTGTGCTAGCCTATTTTTAACAACCATGTTACATTAGAGCAAATGGTCTCTGGTGCCCTTTCTGTACATTGCGACCACTGCATCAAGTTCTAGAAGCTCACTGAATGGTATAACAGGTTATCAATGTGTATCCCCGTCATGATTAAAGCAACCACGGCTGAGCTTCAGAAGGGGCTCACTAGCAGCTACTTCTCCAGTGTTGACCTGGTCAATGTTGGTGCATTCCCCCTGCCATATACCAACATTGAGAACAAAGGGATTAGGCGTATGTGACCCGGATATACAAGGTCAACCCAACACTGCACATGGTCCTTGAAATCAATCCCAAAGCAGGGGACATCGCTCGACAGCTTGACTTAGAGGGAAAATACGGACTCATACAAGGGTGAGGCATAACAGCAGTTAGGATGTTTGTAAGAAAACTATTCACTAACAGCCAGCAGACCTTTGCATGGCCTTCCCATCCTTGTCAAAGTCAACATGGGCACCAAGGACAAGATGGAAACAGCTGTTAAGCTTGTATGCAGTGATATCCTAATTTAATAACTAACTAAGATTACAGCTGGCTCTTACGCGCTTATTAGTGCCAAGGTGGCTGCAGATTTAACTATTATAAAGAAGCTTAGACAAGCAGGCATTATTATTCTTAGCAAAACCAGCATGTCAGAGTGGGCGAACTTTAGGTCACTAAATAAATCCTCCAGCTGGAATGCCCAGGACAGCCAGACATATATAGCTTACTACCTAAAGCAGGATCCCAGCAGTAGTTCAAGTAGTAGTGTGTGGTAGCTAATTTAAGCCTTGCCTTTGCAGCCCTAGGTACTAAGGTAATGGCTTTCATCTAGGGAGCTCCCAGAGAATTATATGCTAAATTCTAGGATTAATTAGATAAGTAAAAGCATTCTATCTCTAAGTAAGAATAATAATATTATTAATATTAAGCCTACTATTAGTCTCACATCATAATACATGGTCATCCCCATAAGTGAGCACCAGGATACAATCAGGCTCAGGGCCAAGACTATTAAAGATACAGTTGGGACAGCAGGCAGACTGCCTTTAGCAAATGCGGATCTCTATCTGTTTCACGAGCACTGTCTATGCTTCAGCTTGTCACATTTGAGGATATGTTATCTTCTGCCTTCCTCCTGGAATTGTCGTCATTAGATGATCTCGATACGTTGACTTGATGTTGCTACAGGTGGCTCTATAAGACTCGTAAACCGTCGAATCCCGACTGGAAAATCTTCAGGTCCGTCGGTTGGATGACCATTTCGTATGAGTATTGAACCTGTGGATATGAGTGAGCATCTGATTAATGTTAGGGCGTCTGGTAAACTCACTGGCCATTACAGCAGGATAAAAGCGTCTGGCAATATTTTAGTGATCAACAAAAGAGAGTAATTTCACATATGTTAACAGGAGCAGGAAATTGATACAATGACGTTCCGGACACTGGGAAATGATGGTGAGTTGAACTTTGCTGGCAGTGTTATTATGGCAGACCAAGCGGGCAGATTTAGAGTAAACATTACTGTACTATTCATGATCGATCAGAAACTTAGCTAGCAGCGGTCCCCAATAAGTATGGATGAAGCCTTAAATGGGCGCTGGGTACCTCTTATGAGCATCATTCAGCGTCTAATGTACCAGGTCATAACCCTAGGCCATGTTGGTTAGAACAGTTGTCACGCATGCTTGATTTGTCTTGTGCTAGGCATCGCAGTAGCCTAGCGGCTCCGCAACATCCATTACTGCTAGCATCTGCATTAGTATTGGTGACTAGCTTCTACATGACTCAGGTTGGCTGTTGTATGTTGTTGTCATAGCTCTACCCCGGAGTAAGTGTACGGCGTAGACTTGTATAGACTGTTGAAAGGAGGCATTACGTCATGTCAACCTCAGGCCGCCAATCCTTCCCCAACGATCAACAGCTAGATCCCCACAGCTTCGAAGATCGCCACCAAAAAATACTCCCAGCATTATCTACCCGACTGCTGACATCTCATCCATAACGACAAGTTTCACAAACTTTCAATCGGATTTGACTTCCGGTTTAACAAATCCGGAGCAAAAATCCCATTGTCCATCGACTCACTGAGTCACCCGGATACTGGAACTGCAACCTCAACATAAAGCCCCACATCTATACTAGCTTCCACCACCAACAATAACCATGCTCTCATTCTCTTTACCCTCCTTCAGTTTCCTCCCATCTTGGAAACGCCAGACGGTCTTCGACATCCCACCAGTGAAGATCCATGAGACCGACACAGCCCACGAAAAGCCCGCCAGGGCCTTGAAGCACCTGCTCAAACTGAACCACGCGAATCACGCCATCCTGTACAACGAGCGGAAATTCCACAACCATGCCCCTCATGTCTGTTTTCTGCCCCAGTTCTGGAGACCATGTTGCTGATGTTATCTAGGCTCTGAGTTCAGCGTTTCTGCAAGGTGCGGACGCGGATGATCTGAATCGAGTGTATGAGGCCGAGTCGAAGACGCTGGAGCCGTGGGTTGATTCTCCGGGGGAGATCAGCACGTATGACTGGCGGGATTATCTTGGACGGCGGGAGTATGTATCTCTGGTTATTGCGTGGGATGAGTTGCGGAATGTGGCTGATGTGGCATAGGTACCAGCGGGCGTTTGTGGATTTCTTTGAGGACGAGCTTGTGCGGCATGGGTACGACTGGAAGAAGGTCGTGGCGGATTATCTGTTCTCCGGCAAGGAGCCACTGTTTAGTTCGCTTGTTGCTGATCGTGAGTGGCTAAGATATTGCTTGAGGAAGGATATGCTGACGTTTGCATTAGTTGGGCATCCGTTGATTCATCTGGGTTATGCCTTTGAGATGTCGAGTCGGGAGGTCGCTATGGAGGCGTTGGGTCTTGCGGCGACTTGCTACAACGACATACACAAGTACATTGATGATTCGTCCTATTCTAAGGCGGAATCGTCGTACCGATCTACTTCGCTTTTTGAGATCCTAGCCAAAGTTCGGGCTGATAAGCGCTTTAAAGGGCTGTTTGCAACACCGGGGGACCATAACCTGGAGACTCTGTTCCGGCACCACGAGGCGGCCCTACTTGACCATTGGAACGCTTGGAAGATTGAGGATCCTGTGCCTCAGTTCCGTGAGAGCCAGCAACTCGCTGCTGCCTTGCTCACTGCTACACCCGCGGATCCCTCAGAGAAATACGACTTCTTCCTCGTCCATATCCTTACCACCAGCCATGCGGTCCGAATCTTACTGCCGTTGATTCCTGCGCGGTTTCAAGTCCCGCTCGTCAGGCAGTGGTGGCTGATGACGCTGGCTGTGTACATCGCCCAGCTCAGACCAGAGATCGATCTTGACCGAATTCGAAATTACGGCCTGCAAGGAAGAGACTGGAAATGGACCGCCAAACAAGCGGTCAAGAGCAAGCATTCTACGGATGCACATTATGTCAAAGCTCTGCGTGCTATGCGGGAGGCTGCGGCAACATGGGGAGACTCGGATGAGCTTTATCTGAAGGCAGCTGTAAAATTTGCAGAGCAGTTCGACGGTTGGGGAGGGTTTGTATAAGGGGCTGTGTCAGTGCTTGGTTTTCTTCAGCGTTTGTATTACTATGAACTTTCAAGCTGGGTAATTGCTGTCCACGACGATCTAAAATGCTTAATCTAGTCAGTTATGGAATCACTCATATTGATGTTGGTACAACCCTATGTCTTCTCCTTTTAAGGAACGTCTCATCACGTGAGCTTGTGAATGCAAGGTGACAGGATCACGTGATTCATGAGATTTTGTTTGAAATGTTTGCAACCAAGTCCATCAACACAACCACTGTCGCCTTCAGGAATAATGATACCATTTCTTGCGCAGTTTGCTCTAACTTCAGTCTTGCAAGATACTCTCCTTGACAGATTGTACTCCTGCTATGTGAGAATCACAAGCTGTCATGCCTACTTCCCCAGAGAGCCCCGAGACAGATGTTGACACGTCCTTGTATCTCCACACCGAACTCCTCCCAAACATCCGTCACATCACACTCTACATCTCATTACCGCCCAATCTAGGTATCCAGAACATCCAGCCACTGATAGCTCTCTCAGAATCCCGTCAGGCTGTCTCGGTATCCCTACCGAAACCCTTCGACCATGTAACGGATACCATCAAGCTGCCCGCGCGGGCTAATAAAGCCTCGCGGCGCATTCTAGCCACCAATAGACAGGGTGCTGCGACTACCGCAGATAGCAGGCGACGCGAATTCTCCTTCCGAATGCAGATTGATGATTCAGATGATTCACTTCCGTCCAAGGATCCGCTCATCGATGATTTCGTGCCCTGGACCGCGGCGGATATGTCTCCGTCGACGAGACTGCGTTGTCGCGGGTGTGAGAATGTCGTTCTGGATACGCCTCGATGCGCAGATACACAATCTGAAGGTTCTGGCCCAGAAGGCTGGATGTGGAAGGACCTGCCCAGCGGGAACTGGGCCGAGATGATGGATTTCTGGCATTGTCATAAACCGGACCCTCCTGAAGGCCATGGCCGTGGGGAAGACCCCAATGCTCAGACGAAGGGATACGGAGCGGCGAATCAGGTGGTGGCGACGGCCGGGACGGTCCTCGTGGATGTGGCGACGTTTCTGGTCTTGGAGGCGGATTGCAGGGGATTAAAGAAGGTAAGGCTTGTCAGTGCTTTGGTTTCTTCTATTCTTTCTCTTTTACTGTGGGCAAAAAGAAGGAGGCCTTTTCGTTTCCATGGACGGGTCTTCGATACAATTGCCCTATATTGATTTAAGCTCCTCTTAGTGGGACGGACTGACGTGCAGTCGTGATGGCAAGATGGCCTGGCTCTTGCGGTGCAGTTATCCTCCTTATGAGATGGATTTCGCGCTTCATTTCTGCTTAGGCCATTTTGTCGTTGCGGCTCACGGAGGCCCGTCTGATGCTCCGAGGTTAAGGCTGCCTGGCTCGTTTCTTCGTTGATTTCGGTCTACGGGACTTCCCAGAGGTATGGGATCGACGCGATTAGGCAAGGTACATACAAGCTGTAGAGTATGCCTTAACTATCCGTAGGTTAGATAAAGTTTGCATTCTTAATACAAGTTGTCGTCTCTGCGCATTGCTACGTATCAGCTCGCTGATTCCGACATTTACCATAGGTACAACCTTCCCCTGAAGAGACCGTCCAAAAGAAAGAAATATCTCTGAACTGCGCAAAATGCGACGCCACGATCGGTATAGAAGACGCCGTGGCGCAGGGCTGGCGACTCTTCAAAACAAGCCTATCCGCCAGTATCCATGACCCATCAACATGGGAAATCCACCCCATCGAGACCATCGTCGCGGCTCAACTCCTCGAGCTCATTGAGCGGGAAAGCGCCCGTCGCTTCGTCATCCACTGTGGCAGGCCAGATGGACTCTTAGTACGTCCCTTACCCCTCACAACAGTTTATCAAAGTACCTAACAGCATGAAGCTATGGGTCTTCAACCCCGACCTTCGATACTCGAGCTCCAGCGCAGAATATAGTGTCTCCTCGCAGCGGGCGATGAAGGTCCTTTTCCAGGAGGTCAGGAACGTAGATAGCATTCTGGACCCTGATCGGGGTTCGTCGTCGCTTTCGCTGGAGGAGTTGAGGGTCCCTGACTGTGTGTACGAGGCTGTTGAGCGGGATCTGAAGGCCAGGAATGAGATGCTGCCGGCTTCTGCGAGGGAGTTTCGGGAGTGGAGGGTTGGGGCTTTGCATCGGTTTGAGAGGTGATGTGAATATGGTGTATGTAGTGCATTAGTAGAGTGAGAGTGAATGGGATTCACTTCTGTTTACTGGGTGTAGGATCGATTGATATTCACTGCCCTGCTTTTACCTCGCGTATAAAATCTCGCGAGATCACACCTCTCAACTCTCACCTCATCTTCACTACTTCCATCTCCTCTACTCCAGGTCAAATCAAAGCTTTGCTATCTACTTATCTGTGAATAACTCCTACTTATAGAAATCTACTAATAAATACTAACATCCAAAGCTCACTCACTCACAACCAACCAACCCAACCTCATCATGCCCCTAGCAATAACAATAACGACACCCCCAGACCCTGGGGAAGCCAATGTGCCTGTGTTTCTCTAGACAGCACCGGCCAGAGAGACTTCATCCAAGGCTTCGCATTCATGGAAAGTGACGACGAGGAGGGTCTCGCCTGGCAGCATGTCGAGGATATATCTATCTTGGCGCCTGAGGAAGAGGACTTTTCGACTGGTGCGACGGGCCGGAATCGTGAGAGTGGTTTTAAGAATGGTGGTACCTCTGGCTCTGGTTCTGGTTCTGCTGAGGCGGGTGGTTCGAAGAAGGGGTTCTTTGGCTTTGGCGCGAAGGGGAAGGGTTCTACTGGGAAGAAATGAGTATGTTGTTGTTGTTGTGCCTAGCCTCTGTCTGAGAGAGGCTGACGTGATTGTCGCAGGGACCTCGAATGACCAAGCGAGAAATGGTTATGTTGTTGAAGGGGTTGGACTGCTAAAGGAGTGGAATATATGAGGTGCGTGGGATATGTGGACTGCATGGTTGCGTCTGGGGCTACATGGTTTCCTCATTCCAGAGATACTACAAGTAGATCAGCGATGAATGGATGTTAATGATCATTGTTATCTCTCAATAGCCCTCGACACGAATGACCAACTTGTCCCCGGAATTCGTCTATTGACTACCCTCAAATGGCGTCTCAAAAGGTGGCTCTGCCTGAGGAGTGATCCTCGCCAGATGACGCCTCTGTCCATCTTCCCAGTCGAAGAGAGCCGAGTGTGCTACGACACGGTTCTATTGTCGTTAGTACTTTCTAGAATGCAGGCTGAGTATACTCACATCCCAAACGACCACTGTTCCAGGAAGCCATCGGACACGGGTCTGTAGATCCTGCGAGAGAGCAATGTGATCATACAAGAACTTGAGAAGCCAGTCCGATTCTTCCTTCTTGTATCCCACAATGTAACGGGTAACTGTAACAGTTAGAAGATTCTTCGTCTTACTCAAGAGAGAGCACTCACATTGTGGATTGACGAACAGGGCTTTCTCTCCAGTGACCTAGACGATATCAATTACGTATTACCAGCGTGCGGGACAAGTTTTCAACTTACAGGATGAGTCCTGACAATCGGATGCTCCGATGTGATCCCCTCCCGTCGGGCAATCCCCCCACGGTTCAGACTATTGTTGATCTGCTCAATACCAGAGTGCACCGCCTTCAGACCGTGCAGCCGCTTACGGAACTCAGGTGACAACCGTCTGTATGCCTGTGCCATGTCGGCGAAGAGAGTATCACCTCCGCTGGTCGGTCCGTCGAGAAGGTACAAGAAGGTCGTGCCGGGCGGCTGCTTCTCGAAGGTCACGTCCGAATGCCAGGTCACGGTGTTTGTCCGTGTAGCCAGAAACTCAGCACCACTTCGGTCGTCCGCGCCGCGGTGCACGAGGTGGATCTCCGGGAAACCTTTGGGGGCTCCGGAGGTTTGATGGATATGGTGTCGGCCAAAGTAGCCACCAAACTCCAGGGCTTTTTCGATGGGGAGATGGGCAAAGTCCTGGTCACGGAAGGCTGGGGATACCATCAGCAGTGATTAATGAGGCTGGCATCCTGTCACGTACCGACGACCTTTCTTTGAGCTACGTAGAGGGCCAGCTGGTCCTTTCCTTCTTTCGTCAACTGGCTCAACTGGACGCCGCGAACTTCACTGCCGATGGACGGTGTGAGATTGTCCACCTGGACTTTACCCTGAGGCAGAAGGTCAGGAAAGGATGGATCGGCGTCTTTGCCATGGTCGTAGTGCTCAAATGGCGTCAGTGGTGGATATCTAATGGTATCAGCGGATACGACAGAGATTCAGAGGTTGAAGAATCTTGTCCACTTACCTCTCCGTTTCGTTGTCCCACACTGGTAGATAATGAGGAAACGAGGCAGGAGGCTGCTTCTCTGTGCCCTTCACCTCGTTCTCATGCTTATAGACCTCGCCATATCCGATCACATTCTCCTTGTTGAACCCGGCATCAGTCTTGAGCTTGGTGACCGGCGCGGTGCGAAGAGCAACGTTTTCAACCAGAGACGGGGCCATCTTGGGGTATGTCTTGACTCAATGTAGTCCTTGATTTCAGTCTGGGTCTAGCAGCCATGCAAGTGAGAATACCAATCCAGATATACCCATTTCCCCTGCCGAATACCCGATCTGTGCTCGCGCAATCACTGCGGGGAATGCTCTGATATGTCGTATCTGTCGCGCGATTCGACCATGGACCTTCATCCACGCGGGGTAGATAGAGGTCAACGTCTTCAGATGTTAGGGAGTTTGGAACGCTCGAGGACAGGATGCATGGTGAGTGCTGTTCGCATCCGCATTGGCTATCTGCCCTGTCAAATAGAATCCAGCGTATTCCTTCTCGAGCAGCAGAGCGATTGTAATGGTGTGGAGCCCAAACATTCTGCCAATCCTTCAAATCAAGTTGCAATGCAGATAAGGAAAGTCCTGTTAGACTGTTGTCGTTGTTGCTGCTGGTGGACAGGTATGACGTGATTGCGGTGTTGAGTCGCGCAACGCGTATACAACTTGAACTTCTCCTCAGAGAAACGATGCGAGATTTCCCACTCTCTATTCTAGAGTTGGGAAATTTGATCAGATCACATCTCGGATTGCTGCTTCCAATGCGGTTAGATGCAAGTTACTGGCGATATGCCTTGCTCGTCTTGGTAAAATCTTATCCGAACCTTTCCAAATGAGAGACTCGCCAAAGGACAGACTCCTCTTTGACGACGAATCTAGTGATCGCCAGACGGAAGTCTAGACGATGATGACCACAATGGCGATTGGCGTATGATAGCACCATCATCCATCACTATTGCAGGACAACTCTAACTCATTCACCGTCAGCCTTATTGGGTGCAAGGACTGCATGAAACAAGTCAATGTCGTGGGAGTATCCACAAGAAAGCTCCATTTTCGAGACTACTCGACATCTCCGCACGTCTTGCATGACATGACTCGTCTTCTATAACGTCAATCTTCTTTGCTTTGCGTGATGTGGACTAGACCATACTACCAAGTGCGACTACAGCCCTTGACAGGTTCTGTTGGGCTATTGGGCCGGGGCTTGTACTCAATTGTAGCCTTGAACCCACCTGAATGCGACCTACATCTTTGCCTCTTGGGGCAGGTGGATTCTTCTTATCTCGGGTATTCTCATTCTTCACATAGATATCTATCTTTGTCGGAGTGACACCGCTTGGATCCATACTGACCTATTCAAAGCCGTAGATTGCGTGATGGATCTTCAGATGCTATCAGTATACGGCAGAATGGCCGTTTATATCGCCCGTCTCAGACTGGTTTCTTACAGAATGTCACACAGACAGCCCAATCCATCCGAAAAGCTCTGTCCGCAACCGCAAAATGGCCGCGGATGAAGTAAAAGGGGCGTCTGCTCCGGAGGGATATGACACCAAGGGGTTCCCGAAAGCCATCGCAGCGGAGGCGTCTACATCTTCATTGTCAAGTGATGAGCCTCGACGGTACAAGGATGCAGATGCTGCATTTGATACCTCTGAAGATCCGCGGTATTACAAGCCAATCCCGACCTATGAAGGTATCCATCGTTGGGATCCAGATTTCGAGTGGACTAAGGAAGAGGAGAAGAGACTGATAAGAAAGGTACTCCAAAGTCAGTTTCGTCTTTACAAACAATACTGACAAGGTAGATTGACCTGCGAGTCTGCACATTCGCATGTGTCACGTTCTTCGCGCTCCAGCTGGATCGAGGCAATATCGTCCAGGCACTGTCGGACAACATGCTGGGCGACCTTGGTATGAACACAAATGACTACAACACCGGACAAACAATCTTCTTCTGCTGCTTCCTCTTCGCGGAGCTGCCCTCGCAGCTCATTTCGAAGGCGCTCGGGCCAGACCGCTGGATTCCCATCCAGATGGTCTGTTGGAGTTTGATCGCCGCTTTCCAGTCTTTCATCAAGGGCAAGAGCGGGTATTTCACTTGTCGAGCGCTTCTCGGATTATTCGAGGGCGGATTGTAAGTCGAGCACTAAGCTACTGATCCATAGACTTGATATTGACCCCCCGCAGCATCCCCGACACGATCCTCTTCCTCTCCTTCTGGTACAAGTCCAAGGAACTACCCATCCGCCTGAGTTACTTCTGGGTCGCGTACGAAGCCACCGCTATCGTCGGCGCATTCCTCGCCTTTGGCTTCCTCCACATCCACGACGGCGACGGCAAAGGCGGGTGGCGCTACCTCTTCGCCTTCGAAGGCCTCATCACAGGCATCATCGGCATCATCGCCGCATTCTGGATGCCGGCCTCCCCCACACAGACGAAGGGCGGCTTCCGCGGAAAGAATGGGTGGTTCAACGAGCACGAGGAAAAGATCCTCGTGAACAGAGTCCTGCGCGACGACCCGAGCAAAGGCGGCATGCATAACCGGCAAGCCGTCACCCCCAAGATGCTCTGGCAGGCGCTCGGCGATTACGACATGTGGATCATCTACCTGCTCGGTCTGACGTGGCTGATCCCCAACTCGCCGGCGACGAGCTATATCACGCTGCAGCTCAAGTCGCTGGGGTTCAAGACCTTCCAGACCAGTCTCCTGACTATCCCCGCGTACGTGATCTTCATCGTCAACCTGCTCTTCTGGACTTGGATCTCGGAGCGGTTCAACGTTCGGTTCCTTTTGGGTGTCGTTGCGGAGGTCTGGTGCCTGGTTCTGCTGATTGCCCTGGAGGTGTTACCAGCTGAGGCCAGCCCCTGGGCCCGATGGGTCATTTTAATACTTCTCATTGGGGCACCGTATATCCATGCGATTATTGTGGCCATGACCTCGAGGAACGCAGGCACCGTGCGGACACGAACGGTTGCCAGCGCGCTTTATAACATGATGGTGCAGACCTCGAATATCATTGCCAATAATGTAGGTGTCCGGCTGGGTCAGCCACGAGTGTCTATATCCTATTAACAATGCTCAGATCTATCGCGAAAATGACAAACCGTACTACCGGACTGGTAACAAGGTGCTCATTGCTTTGTCGGCATACAGCTTGGTTCTCTTCGTTGTCGCCCGGTTCTACTATGAATGGCGGAACAAGTACGTTTCCTTCCCAAGTTCCATATGACGGCTTCAGAAGTTCAGATATTAATTGCGTCGATAGAACAAAGGCACAAAAGTGGAACGCCATGTCTAGTGCAGAAAGGGAGGAGTATCTTTCTGCGAATAAGGACCTGGGAAATAAGAGGTTTGTCTAATACAAGGCATCGATTGCCCGACTGAGCTGACATTTTGACAGACTCGACTTTAGATTTGTGTACTAGGTGCTGGGAATGAAAGAGGTCCTGCTGGCCTGTGTTGGAGTGCTGTGGCTTCTTGGATAGACTTTGAACCCTCCATAACGGCTTAAAATAGCTCAGACGCACCTCAATAGAAAAGTCCACCGTCTCATGCAATGCTTGATATCAAGTAGAGATCCATCAAAAGCTGATCGAAAGTCTACTCCCCGATAACATATTCGCAGCCATCGTCTCCAATCCACACCTCATGTAGCTTACCAGCGGGCACATCGATTCTCGCGCCCACTCCAAATGTCTCTTTCTTGACTTCTCCATTGTGCAATTTGGTGTTATCGTCCGGATATGTGATGGTAAGAGTGCCCCGTCGGATGAGATGCGTCGTCAAGCCGCTATGACTATGTGGGGGGTAGTAAGCGTTGCTGCTGAGAGAATCAGTAAATGACTCTGAGGGTGTTGACATCTCAATTCCAAAATTAAAATGCAAACGTATAAGCTGGTAATACCTTCCATCAGTCCAGGTAAAGACATGTTTGAAGCCCCACTCTCGGACTAGACGTTCATGGTCGCTGCGATTTTTGATGGGATATGTTTGTGTCATGATCCGTTGAGTTTTCCTCTGCAGCAAAGCGATCAAGTATTTGTCGAGAAGGAGAAGTTTGTTCCCAGGTATTATAAGACTGAGCTTGCAATGATGGCGGAGGAATATTTGTTGATGACGTCGACGGGGAGTGGCCTAATATATGAAGATCGTAGAATTGCCAACCGCTCCAACGATATCTCTCGCATTCACGTGCCTCTGTATCATCACTGTCAACTGGACGCTTGAGACACAAAACTCCCCTCAATTGCAGCTCTTCCATATGTCTGAGAGTCAACTTTATGCTCTCTTCATTCGAGGTGTCGTCTCCACCCGTGGATACCTGTATGGCTGTAGTTTGTCTCGGCCCTCGCGGGCACCAGTTTCACTTGACATGTCAGGAATCCCTTTCAAACACAGAAGCGTCCTTGGGTCGTGGACCGGATTTAAGCCAATATTCCGCTTCAAGTCAAGTAGGATACGGCAGGAAACCACTCGTACATCATATATGTTTGAAATTCCCCGAAGATTGAAATTCCCGAAGAATGAAGTAAAGGAAGAAAGTTGAAGAGGAAGATCGAGAAAATAGGCGCAAGTGTGGAATGAAGAGAGAAAGTAGTGCCTTGATTTCAAGGCAACGAGCAAGCAAGCATACAGCAAAAGAGGCAGGTGCTGTGGTCCTTAACCTCTGCTTCATTTGTGCGAGGTTTCGTGATTAGCACCCATCATCCTATCGTACAAGAAGTCCTTTTTAATCCTCTCTTCATCTCTCACCCGTCCAGGATTTCCTCAATATCGTACAATGCAGCCCTATCAATCATCTCCCAATTGCCTTGGTCGACCGTTGGCCCAAGCCTGGAGATCATGTCTCTTGCTTTCCCGGCGTTTGCCTCAGACACCTGCCGTCCTGCATTTCTCGTGGACAGCCAGAAGGTCGAGGGTCACCGAGGGACCTTCTATAATTTCTTTCTGAAGGTAGGGATTTCCTCCTTTTCCCAGAGAGGTTCTGAATTTCCTGGAATTTGGTGGAAAAAATCTTCATGAGGAATCTAACACAGCGTTAGTTTTAGTGAATTCCTTTCATCCTTTAAAGAGTTATTCTCTCACCGAGGTCGATCAACATGGCGTGCCACAGACATGGCAGTTCTTTCCTGGTATTACCCAAGTCTCTTTTCCCTGTCCCTGGCAAGATGGACAGCGAACACCAGGCATCTGGTCAAGTAACGACAATCAGCAATTGCAAACAAGGAATTATGACCCGTTGCTCAACTCATACCGTCATTCTGGCTAGATTTGATCAGGTTCTTGCTAACAAAGTGTGTCGTGAGGTCTTGCAACCTTGGGAATGGGTTGAGAGTTCGACTTTAAACTTTCGATCTTCAAACAAACTTTCCCGTGGATATAAATAAGAAAGGACTTGTGGTTGAATGAACCGGAGCTGGAAACTAGGTCAATCCTCTTTATATAGCCTGGCTAGTAAGTGACTGACCCGACGACCCCTAAGAGGCTGAGGATTCGAAATCTCCATCGGGAGATCTCCAGTCCAGATTGGACCGGTTTAACACTAGACACAGGTGAATTTAATGCATCCAAAGAGGAGAATGATCCTCGCAAGGACGCAAACACCACATCTTGTCGAAAATCAAGCTTATGCTCTGGAAAGCTCGGGTGATCCCGTCTATGACAAGCGTCGTGCATTCAACTAATGAAATATGATTATTGCTAGCGTCCAGCTATACATCCTACCTGCAAGATACGTGTGCAGAAATTCCAAAACTCGAAATCACCCGAACCTCTGGATCCGCTATAATAATGGAGATCAAGCAAAATGATACCCATGTAATGGGTCACAGGCCGTTTAAGCAACACGAAGTTTGCATTATCTATCCAGAATGCTCCATACATGCTTCACCGCATATTGCACATTCGTTATAACTTTATTATGTGACTGGTTGCAAATGACTTTGCTGGCAATCAATCCAAGTAGGTATTCAACGGAGAAACTGGGGCTACCTTGAACGCGATATCCACAACACGGATACGGTCCCAATGTCCCGACTCTTGGAACTCACGGCAAGTAGTTTATATGAGTCCTGCGTGATATTATTGGACCATGCGAATTGTCATCATCAAGCCCCTCGTTGGCGCCCGGCTGATGGATAACATATCAGATATGCAATTTGCATTCGATTATACATCGAACATTCGTTACCAATTTCTTCCATCAATTCTACCAATTCGTTCTTACGGAGCACTCCAAGTACCGATCCCAGTTTCTCAACATGGATACTGTGGAGCTACAGGGGTAAATGGTAAGTGCCTTGATCTGGAAACCAGCTTCGCTGGGCATGTTCAGTTGTGATGGATGTGACTTGAAAATTGATCAGTGACATCCTTTCCCCATCAAGCGCCTGTTCGCCGGCAGCCAGACCCACTGGTCCACAGACTCGAGGGCGCAGCTTATGGTGTCCGCCAAAGCTACTCCGACAACTCCGTAGCAATCAACTGACAGCTGGCCCCATCTTGGTGCCACTGCGTGCGCCATACATGGGTAGCGCACGTTAATGATCCCGTTGCTGTGTCCGGTGACTCCTGTCATCCATCACCCAGATGGTAGGCATCCATCACTATGCGAGTGGCTATAAAATTGAAGCAGCTATATGATTAATAGACCTGCACATCGGCTTCTTGAGACCAGAGGAATATGGATGATCGATTTTGACGTGAGAAATGTGTCGGCATCCGACAGTGTTGATGAACTGTCAGTCGACCGACTGAGACCCTGAAAGGCGCATCATCTATCGCTACCCCTGAGTTTCAGGATTCCGCGAGTAAGAGTAAGAGACTTGTTCTCGCAGGCTGCGAAACCCCTTTTCTGGGACCAATACTGTGGACAAGCCATCCACAGGCTGCGGTAGCCAGCATTGAGTTTGATGCTAATCAACCCAGACCATTTAGTCTGGTCATTAGCGTTGATAGTGAATCTTATCAAGGTCTGGGGATTTATCCATCACTTTTGCTGCGTGATGCCCCACATCTGCAGTTGATCAGTCAAGTCTCCCTTCTCCAGCCATCCTTGAGCTCTACTGTTCCAATCCTGAACGTTATGTGATTGTGATTTGTGGAGATTTGTTGAAAACTTGAGCTGACCAGTTTGTCTCCAACTGCGCATATGAGTCGTTTGGGAGATTGACATTGGTAATGATCTTCTTGTTTTTCGCCCTTTTCCTTTTTAGTAATTTACATACCATACTTGACGAGCTTTGCATGCAGGAGTTCCTCTGAGGCAATCCCTCAGCAATAGGCCATGCATGTATGACTGTACTGACTGCTGACTACAAAGAGTGTGGCTCTCAGAGGCTTTCCCCTAATCCTTAGTCACTCCACACCACCCGCGCTCATCCAGTCAAGGATCCATTCTCATAACGACATTCCTACTAGTTGACAGGTCACTTTTCCACCTCCTGCCAGATCAAATATAGCAGCAATCAATATACTTTGTGTGACAGGCCCAGCAAACTTCCCTCTCCGTTTCTCTCGAGAGGGGTTTGAGTAATGACAGTCTCTGCAGGCTGATGAATATGGTCGTATTCACCCACACCGCCAGACTATCGCGGTTGTAATGAAACCTTCTAAGCCCCTGACGCTTGATAGATCGTTCAGGCGTGATCAAGACCTATGGGGATAGTCTATTTCGCTAATCAATGCTATGTTTATTGCGGAGACTCCATGCGGTCCGCTGAATAGTGACTCCACAAGACTCTACGAGTACTCCGTAATGTGTTTCTTCATCTACCTGCTTGCAGGCCCGCAGGTTCAACTGGGACAAACGCGCTCGAATTCAAGAATAAAATCAATAACGAAGTATCCGAAAGTCAAGGATAGTTGCAGTCAAATGCAAGTAGCTGCAGCTAATCGTCAACGACGCTGGAATGGTCTAATCAGGTCATATGCGCCCAGAACTGCAATGCATGGCATGAGCATGAGCCTTCCGGCTGATTTATCCAAAGTGCTCTCACTGCAGGCAAACAACTTGCATATTCCCTTTTTTAGGCGGAGGGGTGGGGTGTTCAGAATGTTTCTCTTTTGTCTTTCTAGATGAAGCGTCGAACAAGGTAGAGCCCTGCATGAAGCTTGTGTGACAGGTTAATTAGACAAGGGCCGAGTGCCGAGTACCCCATATGTAGCATGTGCAATTGCGGGCCGAATGGGTCTGACTTGAGGATTTGAATTGATCTGTCTGGTTAAGATGTCTAAAATTTCCAAGTCCCAGTTTCAGTCCCAGTTCCAGCCCCACTGGAAGGGTGATGCATATGCATATGGATACATCGTCATTGCTACCACTCAAGGCTCAACTATGGATCCTTGTTTTGGCCAATCGGCAATTGGCGAATCGCTACTTAGGAGAGAACCTTGGTGATCCGGACTAACAAGACAGCACCGGCTTCTGCCCCAGAGCAGTCATGGAGATGGATCAGTCGATAGCCCTGCTGCAGACGGCTGAGTTTGAGACATGCCCAGGCGGCTAGGGAGTCTCGGCCGAGCTCGTCGTCTTTGACTTTAAATCTGTATCTGTATTAGACTTGTGTGAGACTCGTAGAGAAGGATGGGATTGTACCTAACAAAAGTCAACTCCTCAATGACACCCTGCAAAGTCGGGAACTGGATCATCTGCGCGCCGAAATCCGGGTTCGTGCCTGTGGCGCTCTTGATGCTGCGCTTGTAGCTCGTCTTGTCCGAGTCGGTGGTGTTGTCGCCTCCCGGCGGGAAGCCGTTCTCCTCGTCTGGGCACTCCACATGCAGGTAGCAGCTGACGTAGGGCCGGAAGCCGGACTCCTTGGTATCCCCCGGGGGCAAGGGGAGGTTCTGACCCGCGAGAATTTCGATGGAAAGGTCGAGCTGTTGGCGCTTCACGGGGGCGGAGGGGGGATCGGAGCTGCGGTAGCCCTGGGGCTTGAGGACCCAGCCGGGCTCGCCGGTGAACATGCCGCGGTTGAGCATCATGCCCTTATCGAGGTTTTGCCAGTTCAGGGCGACGATCTGGGCGCCGCAGCGCCAGAAGAAGGTTGGGTCAGGGTTGGAGGAGTTGACGCGCAGTCCGTAGGGGTAGACGCGCATGAAGAAGTGGCGGTTGTGCTCGAGGAGGCCGTCGCGGTCTTTGGCGTAGGCCTCTCGTGCGGCGTTTTCGGAGAGGGAGAACACGTGTCCGGGTACTTTGGCCTCTGGATTTCGTCAGGTCAGTCAGTACTTACTGGTACTATCTACCGCGGTGATACGCTAGCGGCCAGTTCTATGGTGCAATGGCTTACCTGGCTGGGTGAAGTGGCGGAAGGAGAACCCTTTGGTAAAAACCGCTAGCCTGCTTAGGGAGTGTAGGACCTTGGACGGTTTGGCTGGTGCAGGTTGACCGTCCTGATTTGCGGAGGGAGGTGTATCGAGCGCGTCGGTCTGATCGTCCTTCTGCGCTTCGCCTTGGCCGTGACCTGTTGCTGGAACCCACTTGACCTTGATGAGGATCTTGCGTTTCAAGGTCTCCAGAGGAGGCGGGGCCTGAGTAGCTTCAAGCTCCGGGGTGACTTCGATCAACATTCCCTTGAACGCCTCCTCCATGATCTCCACCATGGTCGCCTGCTGTTCGATGCATGTGTGCACCTCCAAACTGACAATCACCGGCAGATCACTTGCCACGAAGGCGCTGTCGCGAATCGCATAGCAAACATCGCGGAACTTGGTTCCTTTGGTCAGCGTGTGACCATGGAGCACCCGGGGCTCCGGACGGCGTAGGATTTGCGCTGCAGTGTCTACAGCAGCAGCGGTAGCAGTTGATGCAGGTTTATCAGTGGCTCCGTTAGCAGGCGATGATTTGCGTCCCAGCAGGCTTCCGAATTTGGACGAGAGGCCCTTGCGCCGCGATGTTGCCTTGGTTGACTGTGTGCTACCATCCGTCTTTGGTACGTCCTGCTTCTTACGGCGACTGGGCTTTTCTTCATCAGAGCTCGAATCGCTACTACTGCTGCTGCTTGTGTCATCACCAGAAACGCTGTCATCGTCCGCATCTCCGTCCCAAACATCGATTTCAACACATCTACAGCCACTCAGAAGTACCTAGTAAAAGTCAGTGAAGGTGACAACCATTACTCAGACGGACCAAGTAAGGAGGGGAAGTATTCGACAGTGCATTACATCAGCCCGCATGAAGAGGCCTGTAAGCACTATGCAGTATTTCCCCCTCAGGCCGACAATTCAGCAAAGAAATGATCAGGTGAGACATACGTTGGTATATGCAGCCGCTGCAGCATCGCTGTACAGCTGATTACCCGTCAAATAGGTGTTGTGACTGGACGAGATGTAATAATCTGTGATCGGTGCCGACAAGTCCTGACCTTTGGCCGGACGCAGAGCATCAGACGCCGGGCTGGACATGTACGCATGGAATGCTGCCAAGGACGCGAGGGGATTTGTGGCCCCAGCGCTACCGGCGATGTCTTCTTTTTGTACATCCTTGATAAAATCAGCGGTCGAGGTGGAAGTCAAGGATGCATAGACCTTGTCCAGATGGGAGGACAATGGGCCGGGCTGCACTTGGATCGACCGAGCGGGTTTTGCTGACTCGAGAGAAATGCTAGCAGCACGACCAGTGAGTTCGTCCGTCGTTTCCATCCTTGTGTCTGTATTGATCGACTTGACGATGCAGCTCTGTAGTGTGCAGATTCGACCTACCGCTGCCTTGCGTTGCCGGTACGATTGCCTGGTCCTCAATGTGCGCTGGGTGGAATGTGATACAGCAGCTGAAAAGGACAATCGCACAAACAGTTTGAGTCGGCTACAGCGATCAGGACGCAGGGGATGGCAGAGATCACCACAAAGAATAGAAGTTTAAGTCACGACGATGAAAAGGAAACACGGGAAGATGGTGCTGAGCTGGCTCGTTTCGACGCTGTCTGTTTTCTCCACTCGGCGCGGACTTGGCTGTTCTGGGCTGAGCCACCGTGAAGATTGACTGGACCGAGTCTATCCATTATGGTGATGATCAACTTTTGGAGCTTGAATAGCTTAGGAAATATACAGAGTGTATGGTTGATTGCAGATGCCTAAGATGAAATGAGGTTGATGTTTATCGACGACGCGGGGTAATCTGCAATCATCCAGAGACCGATAAGCCACGACGGTCGCTACGATATTTTTTTCTTTCTTCACTGAGAGTCTAGAGAAGTACGACTTGCATTGATTGAGTCTTCTACATCTCTAAAGGAAGATAAGATGCTGAGCTGTTCGTCTCCATACCGTGTCTTTGCTATATCCAAATCTCCCTCATACTAATGACTACCTCCTGTCATATGATTGATCGTCGTCCCCAGTCGAAGTGGGGAGCAGCGGTGAGCCCAGAGAGCTCTGTGTTTCTGTTTCTTTCTCATAGCCAGTGGAGATTGACAGTGATTAGGACGGAGAATATACACTTCCTACGAGACTGTTGACAGTTGATGTATCTGTACAACTGCGCCTTCAAAATGGCATGAGTCAGTCAGTGCCAGACTGCAGTGCCTTCAGGTCGTAAGCTGAGCTCGCTGCATGGCAAGAAGTACAGCACACTAAGGTACAGCGGTAGTCTTAAAAGCCTCAAATCCACCCACGGTCGAGTATTTGTAGGAAACTGGCCTGTCATCCGCGTGGTAACCAGAATATCAGGTACTGGAAACTATCACGGACAATGGACCACGGATACCTTGGAGACTCTCCGCACCAACTGCTGATAAATCACTGCCCCGAGCCCCGCTCCCGCCGTAGTAAGACTCAAGACTCATAAGCAACAATGAAGCCTCCAAGAGCCCCTGAAACTGCTACGAAACATCTCAAGCACACAAGTACGACCGTATAACGCAATGGCAAGCGACTCACCAGTCCATTTCTTCGACATCACGTCGACCCTCCCAGGTGCGAACACAATCCCTCTTGTCCCCTACCGAGTAACTGACCAGTTCCCAGGATCTTCGAAATCATGGTCCCCAAACACCATCAAAACCCGAATGGTCCTAAACTACAAGCGCATCCCCTACACCCAAAGCTGGGTCTCCTACCCCGACATCGCGCCCCTCCTGTCCTCCCTCGCCGTTCCCGCCAACCCAGACGGAATCCGCTACACCCTCCCCGCAATCAACCACAAGCCGACCGTCACGTCCAACCCCACCGGCACCCTCATGGACTCCTTCGCCATCGCCTGCCATTTGGACCAGCACTATCCCACCCCGTCGCTCTTCCCCTCCGGCGACGCAAGCTACGCGCTCACCATCGCAGTCGGCAAGCTCATAACCAGCGCGGTCAACAAGGCCCGCCCGCTCATCGTCCCCAACGTCGCCAAGTTCCTTGACGACAAGGGGAGAGAATACTTCATCAAGACGCGGTCCGCGTGGTTCGGCAAGCCGCTGTCCGAGGTGCGGCCGCGGGATCCCCAGGCAGTAAAGCAGGCGACGGACGAGATCAAGAAGGAGATGGAGGGGCTGGCGCAGATGCTGCGGGGGAGGTTGGGGAAGACGGGCCCCTTTTTTGAAGGGGAGAAGGCCGGGTATGCGGATTTCATTGTGGCTTCGTTCCTGGCGTGGGCGGAGAGGTCGGATAAGGAGCTTTGGCGGGAGCTGCTGGATGTTGGCCAAGGGGAGTTGAAGGCATTGTGGGAGGCTTGTGTCCCGTGGGTTGAGGGACAGGGTGAGGAGAAGGACTGGCCGGTTGCCAAGTAGATGTCTAGCTTGATAATGTATATAGGAGGGCAGGATCGACATGATATACCCGTTAGCGTAGAAGCAAATTTTAGTGCAAGCGCAGCAGAAAACGAAAAAAAAAAAAAAAAAAAAAAAAGGGAAAATGTCCCATTCAGCGCCCTATCGCCTATATCAGGGATGAACAGTGAGATAAAAATACACTTAGCACGTTGCCAGACCAGACACTCTATACCATCCGCAGCAACGCATCGTACATATCCTCTCAATCACCATGGCATAACCTGCCCCGTCAAACCAGTTGAAACCACTCACAGCCCCGCAGGAAGTTCGCCTCCCTAATCGCCTTCCTCCGAGCATCTCTCGCGCTCTTCGTAATCTCCGTCCGCTTCTCAATGCTCTCAGCCGCCAACGCAAGAACATCGTCCGCCCGTTCATGGTTATACTCCGCAGGCGTGATATCCGTAGCATGATGATGAACGGGAATCTGAGGCGGCAGCGTCGCCGCCCGCGCAGCCATTTTCTTCTCGTAGCGTTTCCGCTGTTTCTTATTCAGAGCTGGGAAGTGTCAGCATAGACCCATCACAAACCATTCCAAAAGCAACAGGGGAAGTGAAAAAAACAAAGAAACGTACTACTAGGATCCACCCCTCCCTCCTTCTTCGCTTTCTTTCCATCCTCCAATAACCCCCACAACCAATCGGGATACTCCGAGTCCTCCAACGCAAACACATCCGGCTTGTTCTTGAAGTAATTCAGCCCGTTCAGCTTCGTCCCCGCAGGCGCAATGCTAGGCGTCTGCTCGGAAGCAGGCTTGACGGTCGCCGGCGCCGGCTTCTCGGGGTTGACGTCCACGTGGACGCTTTCTTCGGGGGTGCTCAGCGGCTGCGACACGCCGGGGGTCGCGGACGAGATGGCCGAGGGGATGGTGATGTCGGCGCCGACGGGTTGGCGAGGGCTGGGCGGGGGAGGTGAGGCAAATACGGTGGGTTTGCCGTCACTGTAGGTACGGAATTGGCTGCGGTGGATGGGAAGCTGGCGTGTGCATGATGAGGCTGTCCATGACACTGTGGGTTGGGGTTGGAGTTGGGAGAGGATGCTCGTTCGGCACCGGCGGCAGATCATTTTGTTGGTTGGTTTGTATGTGTCAAAAAGGATTGATGAGTATATCCCTTCGCGTTCTCACGGCTGGTTAATTTGCCGTGGACTTAAATAATGCGTGTTGAGGTGGATTTGGATATGAAGCCGTATCTGAAAACTGCGGAATGAATTTGATGCCAAGCCGGAGGTAGTGGTCACGTGATTTGAGATATGGGAAGGCAGTGTTCATGCCTTAGGTTTTCTACTCATCTCAAGAACTAAACTAAAAGCAACTTCCACTTCTGAAATGCGTGGCACATGAGCACTGTATGACAATTAGATAGTTGCTTCTCAGCGGAGACTGGAGGACTCCTGACTCAGCCGCTTTAGTGGTGTACTGGAGATGAACAATTTCTTACACATAGAGACATTTTGAGTTGGACAGCTAAGGCAGTCTGCAACGATGGAGGCGAAGAAGGCTACCCTGGAGTCATGAAAGTCGGTATTCGAAGTAGCTTTAATATGTTATACATGCTGTCTCTCTATTCACGAGGCGTTTTCAGCTATTTTCATTCTAACAACACCAGAGCTATCTCCTTTTCTCTGACCTAAATAATAGAACCTCTTCCTGGTAAACAGCAGATGCCATTAATGTACATACTTCGACCTCCGTCACCTTCTCCATTGCGCTTCCTGCTAACCTACTCATTCTTCTGAGACGGATCATGGTCCACCGGTACGGCCACTCTTATCCCAGTATTTCTCTCCCTGGCTCCGGCAGACCACCCTTATTGTCGATATTGGGAGAGATCATGACATAGTCAGGCCCATGGTTGTCAGGCGCATAGCCCATATATCTGTTCCACATGGTGTCCCGGATGGTATATGCCGTATGAGCAGTATTGGACCGGACACAGATAGTCTCATGAAGGCCGCCGTTGCACGAGTACGTATTGCCCGTCGTCCAGCTCTCTATCACGGAAAATCCGCCAGAAATCCACCTGGCCGCGGACGCACTCGCTGTCCAGCTTATCGTGTACGATTTGGATTGCTGGCTTCCACTGAGCAGGATTGTGCACTGCCGTAGTTCATGTTTTCCAGGGCACGTGTCAGTCATTGACTCATTGGTAGTGGGAAAACATCTCGACTTACGCTGAGCTTCTTGCATCGGTAGTTCTGGTGGGGGTTTCTGTCGCCAACCTTCATAGACTGTATGTTCCTCATCCGTATGTGTACTGTGAGTCGAGGTGGACACTTACTATAGTGGTTGGGGCCATCGCTTAGCACCCAAGACCAATGCTACCAGGGCCCAAGATATGACAGGGGGTTCCATCCCGCTTCTACCTAGGTCAATGGGTGCTTAAGCTGCTCAAATTTGTGTAACGCCGCTTAATCCCTCAAAGATAGCATGATGGGAATCATATGTAGGTAATCCTGCGAGTGAACCAGGGTAATTCAACATAGCTAGATTGTATGATCAATTTCAAAGCTGATGGCGATCAAATATGACGTAGTACGTACTATACTTCATGAACCACCTCAGGACGAGGTAAACATGTTCACACAAAGGAACTATCTTTATAAAGGCCAAGGGTCCAATACCCTTTTATCTTTTCGGCTAAGCAGCCAAGGCCCCTATGCTGAAATGTTATGTAAGAGGATTCAAGCTTAATATATTCACTATCAGGCTGCAGAGTTGTTCAAGAGATTGGTTTATAACATATATACTGGTGGACATACGATTCTGGTCAAGTGACTGGGTGGTCATGAGGTAACTATAGTATATAGTTACCATGTATGCTGGTGTCCCTCAGCTCAAAATAAGCTTATAGATGAAAATAAAGCTTGAAACAGCCACCCCTGATGACATCCGCTGCGCATGCCGGTTCTATGATCTATCAAACTACCGCTGATAAGATCATAAGAAGTAGATGATAGTTGAGATCAAACTCGAATTCCAACTAACTAAATGCTAGACAGTGGGTACAACCGTACAGCCATCCCGCATGGCTAACTAATAACTACTACCACTAACGCAAACAGGCAAGACAAGGCAAGACAGCAACATGGGAAGACTATATCTAGTGATTAAGTTATGGAACGATGTAACCTCATTGATCATGTTCCCCATGTAAGATCTCTGTGAGATTTCTTCTCATTTTCCTTTTGCTGACAGCACCTACTTTGTTAACCTCTTGACAATTCTCCTTAATCAAACATCTATCCTGCACTTCAACCAACTATCAGTAAGCTCTCCTCCCACTAGATACTACAACTACTAACACTCAATAGGACACGAAGTAGCACTCAAATTGCTGACATCGCCAAAACACAACAATGGCATCAATCGGCCCTCCCGCTGCGCAAACCTCACCGGCCTCCCGGAGCTCACCTACCCCAACACCTGCGGCGTCCCAATCTATCAGCAGTGGAACGCCACACAAGACCCCTACACGACCTTGGGAGAATGCTGCCATGAAGTAAACGGGACGATAGGCTACTTCGGCGAGCAGAGCTGCGCCGCGTATTGCAATGCTACGGAGAGTACCAAGGCACAATTACATGATTGCCTGGCGCAGTCGCGAGAGATTAATCAGGTTGGATGCTCTGGGGCGGCGGCGACGAGGGGGAGTTTGTGGAATGCGGTGGTGGTGATGGGGCTGGCTTGGTTGGTCTGTATACGTTAGGTCAGTCTGGGTCTACATGATCGCTTGGTTTGGGTTATGATGGTTTTATCGCCTCGTGTTTGGGATATTGCCTGGTTGTAGGTATGGGTTTTATGCTTTATGACTTGTTGAGCGGGCTGATGCAGTATATGTAGACCTTTAAGGCTTACTTATAATGCCAAGAATTACGCTGAGAAGCTTTGTCAACCTTACGTGTCAGCTAGTGGTGCTTGGATTGATGTTTCCAATGACCAGGTGAGTCGACATAGTCTGGATTCTTAGTGTAATTGCGAGTAGGGTAGAAAACGAGAAGAACTGATATTTATCAAGCTTGTCGCATCCCATCAGGAAGAACACGGGGGGGGGATATGGGTAGACGCATTATCCTAGGTGGCACTGATGCGTGTTCCATTCATAGATGATATATGCAGTAGCATGCACTGAGTGCAAAGATGAAGTGGAATACTGTGATTATCTATGATGGTAATGCTGCAAAAAGGCACAAGCACTGAACAGATCAGTTAAACCATTGAGAACTAACAAGTAGATCTAGGGATTGGAGAACCTGTTAGGAAAGGCTGGTACCTCAAGGGTATGCTGAATATATATACATGGTCCAAGCTCCATTATATATACTTGGTTTGGTCGAGTTTCAGTTGTATAGTCTTCGTTGCCAACTTACCCGAATGCATCAAAGTAGTTAGGGTTAGTGCCAGATAAGCAGAGCACATGCGTAGTGTGTACTGCAACTACTAAGTAGTATGGAATGAAGACATTGTTCTAGGATTTTACTCATGCAGCATGCTTAGTGTTGATGCTGTATAGAAGCTGAACAAGAAACTGATGATTTTCGTCTAACCAACCAATCAGATGGGGGCATGGATACCACGCTGGGGCCATGTGAGGGGATACTAGAAATCTAGTCTACAGAGTGCTTGTTTCTCTCCTGAACAAAACAAACAATCTCCAAAATTCTTTGTTAATGACACATAACTAACAAAGCCGAACATGTGGCAACTTGCGTAATATTATGTTCGTGTCCAAGTCCAACAAGGTCGCTCAATATTATGACCCGAACAATGCTTTTCTAATGATGCAAACCAAACAACAGGACAAGCAGATTTTCAAAACCCGCAATGCTCGAAATGAGGACAACACAGAAATGATGAAGGATATAGAAAGTCCACCAACGCCATACCAGAAAAGAAAATAAGAAAATGTGACATGCAGCGACATAACTAAGTAGACAACCCACTGACTTCCAGGAAATTGCACAAGCTCACACAAGCATCCTTGAGTGACTTTTCCGTCTTCCAGTTGAGCTCCTGCTGCGACCTTGCGGCCACGGCGACACACGAGCCAACATCACCCGCGCGGCGATCGGCCGCCCTTCGGGGGATGTGCTTGGAGGAGACATCCTCCATGGTCTCGACTACTTCTTTGACGGAGTGTCCGCGACCGGTTCCCAGGTTGAACGTGCGGAAGTTCTCGGCCAGTTTGCCTTCGTTGGCCGCGCTGAGGGCCGCGATGTGGCCGCGCGCAAGGTCGGTGACGTGAATGAAGTCCCGGACTGCGGTGCCGTCCTCGGTATCCCAGTCCGTGCCGAACATCTGCAGCTCCTTGTACTCGCCGGTCATGACTTTGACGACGACAGGGAGCAGATTGGTGGGGTCTGTCTGGGGTCTTCTCCAAGGAGGCCGGACTCGTCACAGCCGATGGGGTTGAAGTACCGCAGAGCGACGATGGTCCATTCTGGGTCGGAGGCGGCGAGGTCCGCCAGAATGGCCTCGCAGATCCATTTGGTACGGCCATAGGGGTTGGTGATGCCTGTACAGCCGGGCTGGACGATGCGTTCACTCCCGTCATGGTCGGCATAGATCTCCTCCTTGTGAGTGCAGAGCTCTTCCTTCAGGGGGAGACCGGAGGTTGCCAAGGTGCCGTACACGGTGGCTGACGAGGAGAAGATGAAGGTCTTGATGCCATAGTCGCCCAGGGTCGTGGCAAAGTCGATGAGGCCGCTGACGTTGTTCGCATAGTACTTGAGTGGGTTACGGATGCTCTCCTCCACTGCCTTGTAGGCAGCGAAGTGGATGACACCCGAGATCTTAGACTTGGTCGTCCCCCATCGGGTCTGAGTCTGCTGTTGTTCTAAAAGGTCCCGGAGAGCAGCAGTGTCGCGGTAGTCGTGCGCATGCAGGTGCAGCGACGGCATCTTGGTCCCCTGCTGCTCATGGTACTTGGACGCTAACAGCTTGATGCGGTCGAAGACGATCTGAAAGGAGTTGCTGAGGTTGTCGATCACAATAACATTATAATTGGCCTTGAGCAGTTCCAACGTTGTGTGACTGCCAATGAAGCCGAGGCCGCCAGTGACAAGGATGTACTGGTCGAGAGGGAAGTGGCGCAGAAGATCGTCCAGATGACCATCAAACAAGACGGACGATTGCGTTGCGGGCGTGTCCACGCAGCCTGGGGAGCAAGGCTCCACCGGAGTGCTTGCGTCGGATTGCTGGTAGCTGTCCATTGATATGTTGATCAAGTTGAAGATCACGCCGAGATGATATGCTAAGCAAATAGGATATCCGGGGAGAAGGTCGATCACACTTGGAAAAGAAAGGGTTGCTCGGATTTGCTCAACGAACGTGGGTGAATTGGATAAATTCCGACAGATCGAGAAACGAAGGAAGAGTTTTATACTTCAAGGGCAAAACAAGCACCACCTGGCAGCGGTCCGCTCTATCCAGCTGGGTCAGGCAAAGACGGTACGATGACTCGCTTGATCTACACGGGAAGGTAACTATTGAAGCGATTGGATGCAGATGATACAAGAAGGAAAAGGGCCAGACGGACCGGATCTCGTCAGAACATGGGTATAAAGGGAAAAAAAGAAAAAATCAATCAAAGGGAAACAAGAAGAATCGGCCTCAGCCTCAGGAAAAGAAGCCAACTAGTCAAGGATGAAAACACGGAAACGAGCGGACAGGGAAAAAACGAATGGGGAAAAAAGCGAGAGGGCAGGCTGTCGTCGGAGGAAGGCCTAGACTAGATGTTTGATGCTTCAGGATGAATCGCCTCTTTGCCTCTCTCTGGAACAATGTCAGAATCATCGAAGAGCCAACACCAGCCTTGAGCGCCTCCACCAAAGGTAACTTACTACCTCCGTGGGCAGGATCTTTGGGACCAGAACTTGGACCACATGAGGTTCAGGAAGCGAGACAAACTCGTCTGCGAACTTTAGCCTAACTACTGAGACTAGACTAGAGGGTCTGGTCTGGTTTGCTTTGCTGCATGGCATGGTCGAGATCCGCCCCGCTCGTCTATTTTGGGCGCGCGATTGTGTTCGATGCCCGGACCAAGATCATATCATATCACATTATTAGTTTTATGCCTGTGGATCATATTATCCATGACTACTGTTTGATTTTTTTCTGTCTGGACCAAAGATGCGACCCATCCACTAGAAACAGTGAACCTTGGTGAGCATGTATCTAGGGCTGACTTGGACTAGCCAAACTACTTATTTCGTAGGCTTCCGGCGCCATGTCCGTCCTAGGGAAATCCACTTGATGCGTTTCTTCTTGAACCTCTGTGACACTCGGTGAATAGGTTTGTTTAAATTCTTTTTGATTATTTTTAATTACAATGGAAAAACACGTGAGCAATAGACGCTGCCTGCAAAGCCGGCGCTCTCGAATCCTCTTGGCTGTCTTTGTTTTTATTGCTATCCTGGCTGTCGTGATCCCTCCGGCGGTTGTGGTGACGCTGCACAAGAAGAACGACATGGGGCCTAAATCCAAGGTCTTTGTGCCTCTCTATGTGTACCCTGCACCCGGAGCCTGGACTCCGCTTGAAGATGTGTATGTTCCGTCCACGTTCCATGTTCCACCTTGACCCTTCCGTCATGTCATCCTCTGGCCAGTTGAATCGTCTGGTAAAGCAACCGAGGACAACAGCTAACGCCACACACAGGATCTCCAAACACCCAGACGTGAACTTCACCGTTGTGATCAATCCAGGGAGCGGACCAGGACCCGACGCCCTGCCTGATGCCAACTACACGCGCGAGATCCCCAAGCTGGGCTCATACGAAAATGTGCGGCTGCTAGGCTATGTGGCGACAACCTATGCGACGCGCAATATCTCGCTGGTGCGCAGGGACATCGAGACGTATGCGGCGTGGCCAACGAACTCTTCCAACCCGGCTCTAGCTGTTCGCGGGATCTTTTTCGACGAGACCCCTCAGCAGTATGATGAGGATGCCTTGGCGTATCTGCAGGAGTTGACCGATGTTGTGAAAAATACCCCTGGTTTGGGGCCGGATCATTACGTACGTTTTACCTGTGTATAATTACCACCTCGGTGGTAATATATATATTTTTTTTTGTTTTTCCTCGCTTACCACCTTCCCATCGTATATCAACCCTGCTTTTTACAGTTCCCTGAAACCTGTCCAGTTGCTAATGCTAAGATGATTTAAATAATTGCAGGTGGTTCACAATCCCGGCGCAATCCCTGACTCTCGCTACCTGTCGACAGCAGACTCGACCGTCGTGTTCGAAGCAACGTACGACACCTTTCAGGAACGCCATGGGGCCAACCTGTTCGAGGCGATCCCGGAGAGCAACCGCAGCCAGCTCTGTGCGGTGATCCACTCGGTCCCAGAAAGCGTCGAAGGGTCTGCGCTCCGGGGGTTGGTGAAGCAGGTTCGCAAGGTTGCAGACGAGATCTTCATCACCCACTTGAACACGGATTACTATGCTAGCTTTGGGCGGCAGTGGCCTGAGTTTGTGGATTTGATGGGAAAATAGGCGGGTTACTAACTACCCTGTCGCTTCATGCACTTGGACGACATGATGACATGATTATGATAGATGATGATATTCCATGTTGTTGGGAGAGGTATAGTACAGGTACATAGTTGACCTTACGTAACGTAACTACTAGGCTGTATTTGAAGCTGTAAATTTCTTTTCAGCACTACTTACAATACTTACCAAATTATGGTTAAATGCATTCTGTGTAATCACCTAAAATCCTTCCACCAACTGCCAAGTAATAAGTACTCACTCATCCTCTAGGATGTAGCGACCTAAACATCGGAGTGAAGTGAAACCGTCTCAACAGCGTCCAGTCCCAGTCTACCAGATCTGAGGCTGAGCCATTGATTCATCATCCTCCATACTCGTACCCACTTCTTTCTTTTCCATACGAAGGACGGCTAGGTAGAAGTAGATGTACCTGTACAACGGACCCATAGGTCCCATACCAAGACTGACTACTGCATATGATGCAGGGGGTATCTGCATCCATCATTGGCGATCCCCGCCAGACTAAAACATACACAATCAGTGGACGGGGAACAACTGGCCTGCAGGTGGCGCTGATGGGATGGCGCTGCTTGGCATTTAGGTCGTTGGTATTTCTCTACCCTACCGGGACTCCGCGAGTTATCCTCATCTGGAAGGTAGATATTAATTAGGCCAGTTGTTGGGCTCTTGACTAAGACATACATATGTAACTAACTACAGAGATACTTGCTGTTGCCATTGTCGTTGTCCATGGTTGGCATGCCAGTTGGCTGAATCTTGATATTTATAGAAGATGTTTCGATTTTGGGACTTTGGGTTGGAGGCTGAGGCAACCAGAGTGAGGGAACGAGAGTACGAAGTACACATTGCTGGAGATAGATTGAGCAGATACATAGTACTCCGTACATGTGGACCGGAGTATGGTGTAGGTTTTCTCTGGTGGTGATGCGATATGACTCGTATATTATTACATCATCTTGATTCTGTGACATCAATATTTGGAATTATGTTTATGCCAATACCGCGGCTCGTTTCATGAGTTAGTTTCGGGCCTTTGTTTCGGAGAAGAACAGGTCCACTCTTTTTTTTTCGTATCTTCTGTGTTGGCATTTAGCTACTCTATTCGGAATTGTACGGAGTATTTGATCTGATATAATCGTCTTACTGAGTAGTTAGTCTGAAGAATATCCACTGAAATATCAGCTTGAATTCTGGCAACTTAGTTCCCGAGAAAACCCACCCACACATATTAATTAATTAGGTCCAGGTCTTCTGGTCTGGTCTAGTCTGTTCCTGAGGACCCAGACCCAAAACAAAACAAACCGAACCAAAGAACCACGGCGCCATGACAAACTCTATCTACGACCTTTGTGTTTAGGATTACCCGACCCTTTATATTTATCTATCAGATGGCCCGGTCCACAGTCCACACTGACCGCCGACCGGTCGGTGGATCGCAGGTTGGCGCCAAGTCAACTTTTCCACGTCAGGTTACAAGGGTTTTTTTAAAGCCAGCAGCAGTTTGCAGCCGAGCATCAAACTAGCAAACTCAATCATGGTCAATCGGTCTATCGGTCAATCCATAGAGTTCTAGAGAAAACTCTGTTTGGCTTTTGCCGCTGACTACTAGTACTAGACTGAGTGAGACTGATCCACTGCTATCCACTCGGACGGAAAATGGACTAGAGGAGGTATTCCGCGGCTAGTGTTTCATTCGGAGATAGTCTTCGATCTACGAGTCGCGCAGTTGAGTGAGTCCAGATCAGTATCCAGTGGGCTGTTTGCATTTCGCAGTTCGGAGTTCGCACTGCTGTGTTCTCCGCTGGTTCATGCCTGAGGGTTGTGGACGGCGGCTATTACCTGATACAGATACGGAGTCGCCAAGTTCCAATGCTAGGAGTGGAGTGCTGTGAAGGCCAAGATGTGTGAGAGAGATGTTTACATCCCGTGTATCATGTTGATCGCTGTATGAAACTGAGACATCACGATGCAGACAGACAGATATAATTAGATACTCAAGTAAGATAGAAACAGATAGAACATCAACAGTCAGATCAATGAAACCAACTCCGCCCATGCACTCCGTATTCATGCTCGTCTCTAGGCCCGACCACTCCTAAGGAGTGGAGGCCTAACAATATTCAACCCAATTGTTCAGATTCATATTCTTAATGACAGTCGAAAAATTGGCCGAGCCCGCAAACTCACAGGCCGCGTCCTTCTGGTTGGCCGTCACGGACAGATCATTGTTGGTTTCATCCCCCTTGGGGTACTCGATGTGAAACACCGGCTTGCCATTCTGCGGAAACACGGCGTAGGTATCGCACTCCTTGTACTGCGCACACTGCTCGTTGACACTCCACTGCATGTTCTTGATCACCGACGGGATGATATCCCCCGCGTTCTTCAACCCGACCGACATATTCCGCGCATGCGCCGCATTCGCCAGGAAATTCACAAAGCTGACCGAGTCCGCCTGCGTCAGGTCCAGCCCGTTGTCATTGTCGTACCCGTCGACATTGTCCGGGTCCACCCCGTCGCAGCCCTTGTCGCGCGCCATGTCCAGCCGGGCAAGCATGATCTGCCGCACGTTTGCCGAGCTGATGTTCAGCCATTTTTCGCCGGGCCAGTCGGCCAGGTCGTTGCCCAGATCCGAGTCCTTGAACTTGTCCTTGTCCGGTCGCCAGTTCTCGTAGCTGCCTGCGGAGAAGTAGCAGATGACTTTGCGGCCGGCTTGCTGTAGTCCTGCGATGGTGGACTGGTCGTTGGTGAACAGGTCGATGTCGTATATCTCTGCGTCGACGGAGGTGTCGTTCAACGGGTTTAGCAGCTCGATCTGCCATTTTGTTCCCACGGCTGGCTGCCATTTGGCTGTTGTGTAGTTGCCTTCGGGCGTTGTGGTCTCCCCGCCTGAGCCTTCTTCACCACCTTCTCCGCCGCCGCCCAGACCGATGCCTAGTCCGACGCCGAGACCGACTCCCAGAGCGACGATGATGAGGAGGACCAGCGAGAGAACGAACAGCTTCTTCCTGGTTGTCCATGATTTCCAGCCGCCGGCCGACTGGCCTTTTCCAAGGGGATTCGCCATCAGTGTAGATCAGTAGATGTAGATGTAGATCAGTAGATAAGTGAAGAGTTATGAGATAAGATAGTGGGTGACTGTCAATATATGGCTGCACGGAAGTAGGCTGTAGCCTTCGACAGCCACGTTAATTTGGAATCTCAATGGAGTAGAGTTACACAGCATCAGAAGAAGCCGCCCTCAACAAGACTCTACAGACTCTTGTCTAGACTTGAGAAAAGACAGCCACAGGGCGATCACAAAGAGTTAACGCCTTGGGGCTGTGGTGATATGAACAAAGAGACTGAATAATGCGGCAGCCTACGGAGGCAGGACTAGCCAGATTGGGTGATGGCTGACAGCGTCTATTACTCTATTGTTTGAGGCTGGCTATTTGTGTTACCAGTTAACTAACCAGGTGATCTATCTATCATAATTGATTAGTTAATATGACTCGGGAATATCATTTCACCTGATCAGATCTGAGTCTATTACCTTTTAACTTTTGATGCACTTCCACTCAGCACTCTAAAAATATCTACTGTACGGAGTAGCAGTGCAGCAAAGGACCGACCTTCATTGCAACATTGCCAACTGTCCGACAAGTGGAAACAAATCAATTTTCCAGAGCGACCTGCAAGTCTCAGTCCCAAAATCCCGTGTCAAGAAAAGACTTTTTCAGCCGATGGAACATGTCCAATCATACACGACCAGATAAATCTCAAATATGGGGCGCTTAGCGCCGGACGCTAAAGCTTAGCGTGTAGGATCGTAGTACCTGTAACCGGTTTTTACTTTGCAAATCAGGGGGTATTAGAATACATCAATAATACAATACAGTTTTCGTAGTATCGTACTCTCTCTGTACACAGACTTGGACTCTAAGGTACGGAACGGAACTAGTGAGAATGTCTGACTCGCACCATGGATACACTCCTGGCCCAAACTCGAGCTAGAAAGGTAGATACCCACACGATTGCCACGTTGTTGACACTGACAGCTGACTAGACGATTCGGATAGGGTCAATGCCATTCAATAGTAGGAAAGTAAACCAAAACACTCTTTCCCATTTGTCCCACGAGAGTCATGAATCATGATGTAAGGTATGTTGCTGTCCATGCTCACGACTCAACCCCAACAACACATCCAAACCCAAACAAAAAGTCAAGAAAGTAGCAAAGTCAAAGTCGATTACCACTACACTCAGCTCAACGCTGGCAACAAGTAAACAAGTAAGTGTAAGTAAGTACTTACTCTACGAAAGCAAACCCAGTCACATCCCGCCAGATCCATCCGCCTCCGCATGATGGGCTTGAGCTTGAGCTTAGCGTACCTTACCTCGAGTATCACTGCCAACGCCGTACAGAGGACAGAGGACAGAGGACAGCATTCTGCATTCTGCAGGGGTACAACGTTCACCGCTGACTGTACAGCGGAGGAGGAAAGGCTGGGCCGGAGAAGCAAACAATGTTGCTTGCATGCAGCGTCACTGACTCGGCTTGGCTACAGCCGCACCGCACCCACTTTGCAGTTTGCACTTAGCAGTCTAGTTAGGGTTAGGGGTGTGATGAGAGGACATTAGATGACATTAGTGAGGACAGCGCATAGTCCATAGTCCATAGTCCATACTACTGCTGCGCTGTACTGTACTGCAGTGCAAGTTTGTAGTAGTGCGCGGAGAAGACCGATGTTCTGCCTCTATTGCGCCTCCGTAGAGTGACGCTTACATTCTGAATAGTAAAAGCCAAATCAGAGTCTACGAGTAAGTGTCGACTCGGCTAGATTCAACCGGCCAAATATCGAATCAGGCCATTTCAGCCGAGCACTCCTTGTCCTTGTCCTTGTCCTTGTCCTTGTCCTCCTCCAAGTAAGGGGTGGATACTTGGCAATTCAATTTTCTCCGGCCGAGACATGTCACTCCGTCGGTATACACTAACCGTTGAGCTCGGAATAAGGGATAGACTATTGAATTTTGACTTCGCTTTATTCGCCACAGGCATGCGGACTGATTGCCTTGTCCTGTCGGCTTTAGATAGGAATAGGAGACAGGCGGATAAATATTATGAGGAGTCGATTACGGAGTAGCTATCACCGACGCCGACACCGGGTATAGTGGACGTCGCCAAGATATCCATTGTGGATTCTACGATTCAGGTTTAGGGGAGCTAGGGGCAAGTCTTGGACTCGCGTGGTCTGATGGATGCATGGATGCATGGGCTGATATCACCCGGTTAGTTGGATATTTAGTCCCATGGCAGGTGAACTGACCGTGGACGTTAGAAAATGATCCAGTTGGTCTTGTCCTGGTCTCGGTCCGGCGGATGGTTGGGAATGTCTTACTTTGATTCTTGGCAGGGCATGCTACACAGCTATAGAACAGTCATGTTGAGGACAGATACAATTCAATCGACTAACTATGCACTATCATTACGGCATGTAATAAGTACCCGTATAAGGGATGAGTGATATAGGTGGAGGAGGCTACAGAGCAATAGGAGTGGAAAGGGTAAAGGTAACAGGAGATCCCGACAGCTGCACCCACACAGTCAGTGGGTCACTTCCCAACTGCTCGGTGGCATAACCCTGCGTGCTGGTGGGAGCCACAGGGAAGGTCACCGGGATGGGCCGACTGCAGGTGTTGCCCGTGGCTGTCACGGTCACGGCGGTGATCTTCCGGTTGGAAACGGCATACGACATGGCGTAGCCGCACTGGTCGCGCTGGTACCGCGCAAGGAAGGCGTCGGACATCTATCATGGTTAGTCAGGTATAGAGAAATTAATAGAGAATTGAGACAAGGAACATACCTCTTGGTGGGTGATGGTGACCAAAGGCCAGTCAACCAGACGGACGAATTCCTGAACAATAGTTTCAACCCACGCCTGGAAGATGGAGTACTTGGCCGTCACGCCGTTGATGGTAATCGGGTCCACGTTCGCGTTGCGCAGATTGGCCTGGTGGAACATGTATCCATCATGCCGCAGGCCAAAGAGATGGCGCATGGTGTCGGCTTTCTCAACGGCCAGCAGGTCGTCAAAGGTGCCGGCGCCGGCGGAGGTATCAATCCACTCCTGCAACGTGCAGGCCGGAGTGTCGCAGTTGTAGTAAATGCGCGTGGCCCAGCGGCCGTTGATCTGCATGCCGGCGAACCCGTCCGACTCGACCGTAGTAAAATAAGGCCACATGGGGTTCTGCTGGTTCATCAGCACCGGGCGGGTGTTGTCTCCAACACAGTTGCGGATGCCATTGTCCCACCAAGCCCGCAGAGCATCGCCGTTGTGCAGACCCGTGATGGCAGGGGGGATGATGCCGTTGGACGTAAACCACTTGGCCTGGTCCAGGCCGACCTGTTTCAGCCAGGCCTGGTTGAAGGAAATCTCCTTGAAGATGTCCGAGTAGGTCGAGTTGTTCTGCTCCTCGTGGGTGAAGGTGTGCGAGATGTGGCCGTACGTGTCGCGGTTGGCCGGCGTGGTCCACCACTTCAGGAGATCGTCTAGCTGGGTGCAGGCAGCAGTCCAGTCGTAGGCAGTCGGCTTCGAGGGCCAGAGGTCGGTACCGGTTCCCAGGGGCTTCTTGAATTCCAGAGGAGTGTCAGGGGGAGAGTCGTACTCGATCCCGCCTCCGTTGCAAGCGGTAGCACCCGCATCGGTGGACGACGACTGCTCAATGTTGCCGTTGCCATTGTGGCCAACCTCAACAAAGTACGAGCTGCCGGGGTTCATCTTGGCGTTGATGGTCGGGACCCAAGCCGAGATACCCTTCATGTCATCAACGGTGATGCGGAAGGTGGTTCCATTCGGGTAGTAGATGTCGGTTATGAGGAACATGTCGTCAATCTGGGTGTTCAGGTTGACCCGGCGGTGTCCAGCGTACAGCCCGCGGGTGATCCAGGTGATCCATGCGTGCTGCAGGTAGTTGGAGGTAGCACTCCAGTCTGTCGAAAAGCCAATGAAGAACGCCATCTGCTCGCGTCCGTCAAAGTTGTTGATGACAGCAGCAGTGGTCTTGGTCGAGGTGACCGAGTTGGGAGCGAACTGGGCAATTTCCTTGGTGGAGCTCGTGTTGCTGATCGTGGCGGGGTAGTGCCAGAGGCCCTCGGTGCTGACAGTGGCACCGGTCCTCAATCCCGCGGTGGGAAAGTCACTGGTGTCGGTGAACGAGATCAACTGCTCCACGCCGGTGTTGCAGCAACCGCCGTTCACAGCACTGGCACCAAACTTGGGGCCGGGATAGACGTCCCACTGCACCATGCGCACGCCGTACTCGAGCTGGTAGGCGTACAGCTGGTTCCATTGGTCCGTGGTCAAGGCGCTCTGGTAGCCGGAAGTGCCACCGTAGTCGTAGCTCACCTCGGCAGCCACGACAATACCGCCGTAGTTGCCGACATTGCTGGAGTTGAGAGCCGGCAGGGCAACACCCGCCTGCGGGACCAGCAACGTGGTGTACGGGATGCCGTACGCATTGAGCCCCGAGGTAGCCGAACTGGCCGCCGAGGAGTCCTTGGCGATCACCAGGATGTTCGACAAGACCGAGCCTTGGCTAATGGGAGTAGCCGAGGGGGTGACCGAGGGGATGATACTCGAACTGAGGCTGAGAGACATGGTGGAGGACAGGCCAACAGAAGAAGAAACGAGAGTAGTTCCGGTGGGAGTCACCGGGGTAGAGGTTAACGAGAGTACAGCAGACGAGGTCGTCAGCCCAACAGTAGATGCTACACTACTGCTCGCTACACTGGTCTGTGATGGACGCACAGATGTAACGATGGTGGGATTCGAAGTCCAGACACCTGGGGGGTACTACAGGTTATAAAGCCGAAGTAGCAACCGGCCTGAATCACCCACGAGAAGACCATTGCGGTGGCCAGGGGAACAAAGAGGATGACAGGATGACAAGGCAACCAACCTCAGCTCAGCAACCAAGTTGATCAATTAGAAGATGAACGAGAGACTGGGTGGAGATGATCCTTTAGATTGGACTCGAAGGATCATCGACAAGTGTCAGAGAGACAGAAAGATGGAGACACAAAGAGATCGAGTGAAGACGAATCATGTGTGACGATCAAATGCTTTTATGTATTCATGCATGCGACAAGCACAAGCACACGCACACACCGGCAGCAGGCTGAAAAAAAATCTCCTTTTCTTGGTCTGTCAGGGCCATAGCTCCAGCCGACACAACCGGGGCATGGCATCGTACTTTCTACTCCGTATCTACTCCACCGCAATTGACTACGAGATCTTGGGTGGTGAAGTCATCGACTAGCCAGAAAAGGTCACGAGAACCGAGAACAAAGTCAATGCTTTTTGGTACAAGTATCCTATCGTGAGTGAGTACGAGGTTATGATGTTGGAGCCATGCAACTGTCATTGATGCAT